TTTTTCCCTTTATATTTGAAACATACAACATATGCATTACAAAAACATCCCAAACCGAAATATTTTGTTTCATGGTTGACATTTGCGGCTAAAATCAGCTTGAACTTTCGTTAAAGTTAACCAATTTTTTGTTTTTTCTTATTAAACTCAATTAAATATAATTTTTCTAATTAGTTTTTTTCATAGATTTCCTTTTGACGAAGAAAAATAAACTCATTATAAAATGAACGGACACGCCATTGTTGTAGTATACATACCTTTAACTTCAATCCATATAGGCATAGGCATATTATACATCATTGGGTTTGTTCTAAAAGGATGCCCTTATGATGGAATTGACAAGTAAATAGTAAATGAATGAAAATCATCGAGTTAGAATCTATGGAGAGGGCATCACGTGACTAAAAACGACCTAACTTCGGCCATATTGGTATTATTGTTTTGAAACTTTTGACAGATCGTATATGTTTGGTTATATTTGTTGTTTTTCAAATATTTTCAGTTTTATAATAATTTTTTAGAAACTGTAATATATTGTGATAGTGCATAATAATGGTTTCTGGTTCTCAACGTAGTTGCAGTAGCAGAAGTAATGTTAATAAAAAATCTTCAGGAATATCGTTCCACGGGTTATTATACAAATATGTAAACAAAGTAATGGCCCGTACTTCAGAGAATAAATTAATACTATTTGACTGTATTAATTTATCTTTATGTATAATATATCGTGTTTTTAGTGTTTACCGCTGGATAAATAAATCATAGTTTATTAAAAATGGATTGCACTTTTTTAGATTATCATTAAATCTTCTGAATAACTAGTCATATTTGTATAGTAGTTTTATTATTATTGAGTCTGGCCCTGATGTCACCGCCATATTGGTATTATTGTTAGCCACTCCTACCTATGCCGTTTTTAATACATACGTTAATATGCTCATAGCTTCTCCATAGATTCTAACTCGATGATGAAAATATATATTCTGCATCATATTATTTTTTTTAGGTTAGCGATCTAAGTGGTCTTTTCTCGGAAACCGTCCACTAGCAACATTGGAAGATCCGCTTAATTGAGGTCTTTTATTTGACACGTACGTTGAAATTTAATGACGATTATGTTTATTTTACCAATAAGTATAGTATAATAATATTGACATTTTATTGATGATTCTTAAAAGCAAATATCTAAGTAAAGGAATAATCTTCCTTACTTTTTTTTATCATTAATTTGTTTCGTGGTGTTTGGTCATCTTTATATTATATTGTACATACTGTAGTTATATAAATTAGTTTCTCGGTTAGTTACAATGATCTTCTTTCTTCATACCTACACAAATTCGTCTCCTATATAATTATTTTTGTCCTCTTGTTGTCTGGAATGCAGTTTTCGTTTGTTTAGTATTGTTGGTGATAAAACTATCTTAATGTTCATCTTGGCACTTGCGTCTCATTACTTAAGATATTTAGACTCTTTTTCATAAGTTACATCAAATATGTTCTTCAATATCCGTTATATTCGACGAAAATTTTAAAGACACAAACAGATCTCAATGTGTTGGTTGTTTTGAATGTTGTGATTGTATTAATTTATTTCCTAACTTCCTTTTTAATTTTTCTGATAAGCCCTTTACATATACTGTTATCATCTTCAAATAATTTCTTGTGAGTATTTCTAGATTTTTTTTGGCGGTTTGTTGGTTTCTTTCTTCAATCTTGTGAAATTCCCTGTTTGAAAATGATAATGGATTATCAGTTTTTGTTAAAACCGTGTTGATCCACCATCAACACCAACCTCCCTTGCTTCTGAAGAAGCTATGTATAAGGGTAGCACAACATTGGCATGAATCCATAGAATAAATTTGATCCAAAACAAATACCACGTTTTTGTGCGATACCAAAGCTGAACTTACAGACAAATTATTAGCACAAATATTGTTTAGTTCAATCTTTCGAGTTGGGAGACACAGTACTCCATTTATTTTGTTTCATATTGCTGTACAATGTGCAATACATTATTAGTGACAGTTAATGAAACTTTGGAATCATTTTTAGAATCTTTGGTATCATTTTTAAAAAGTCATCTCATAAAATGTGTAATTTGCACAAACATTTCTTTTTGTGATCACAAACAATTAGAATATATTTACTAAGAATGAACACTTCTGAATCTGACAATTCTGTATTATAATAATAAGCTTTTTTAACTTTTCCTAAAACATTGAGATCATTCCTCAAAATTATATTCGTATAAGATTATAGTTTAACAAAGTTAGGTATTTCTCTATTTTTCCACAATTCCTTTCAATTTATACTATATATTATAACGCTATGCACATTTCCTTATTCAAAAACGATGTAGAAAATTAAAAAAGAACAATAAATAAATCCTAATACTCAAAAATGACTAGAAATATGTATTCACTTTATCACTCATGGAATCCGATTGTGTAAAATTACAATTAATCTAAATACTAAGGATTTTCCTAAGGTATCTTTTTCAGTTTTGATTTTTATTAACATTTAAAGTAGGGTTATGGTAATACCAAAGTATGAAACGCAGTCTCCCCTTCCTTACTTGCTGTATCTGGCTCTTTCCCCAACTGTTCTTCATTCCAGATTGTAATATAACAAAAATTTGAATAAATTAGAGTTTAAAACTTTTAAAACCTTTTTAAAATTCCCTATCAAATTTACAATGTCAACAAACGAATCTCTATTTCGTCCGCCATCTTTTAAAACAAGTGCTGCCACCTATAGTAGTTTAATATCGCGAATAGTTTATCTCCCAATTTGTTAGTATATATTCTTCTGGAGATATTTCTTACGACAATTCTTTACGATTCCCCCTCATTTCTAATCTTCTATTTCTTTTTGCGATATGTCCAAAATATCTAAAGCATGCCTGATCCATTTTTACTTGTCTACACCTTTTGGGACGATGTTCTATATGTGACAATTAATTGTCTTTTGTGTTATTATATCAACTAATATTAAATTTTTCGATTTTGTAATTATCTGCTCCAAATTGTATTTGTCTAAAAGTACCTTAAGCATCTTGAACTCTGCCCGTTCTCGCATTTTGACCGTCATCGTTTTCTGTCCATCCATTCGTCTTCTTTGATGGCTCTATCTCTTATTATGTTATCATCATCTTTGGCTCGACAATCCTGTGTGGATCTTGGCCTGCTCTAAGATTCGTCGCCATTCTGTTCGGTTTTTGCCAACATGTTGCCATCTTCTGATTTTTAGTATTCGTAAGTCGGTTTCTACTCCATCTAACCACCTAATTCGCGGTCGGCCTTTGCTTCTTTTTCCTACAGGTGTTCCTGTGGTTAGCTTTTTAGCAATGGTATTTTCTGGCATTCGTATTATGTGTCCAGCCCATCTAAGTCGCTGTGTTTTAATGAACGTTATGACATCTGGCTCATCAAAGAGCTGATTACAATTCAAAATTATATCTTCTGCGCCACTGCCCTTGGTCGTTTACAGCTCCAAATATTTTGCGGAGTATTTTACGCTCAAATATTCCCAAAAGTCTTTCATCTTTCTGCGTTAATGTCCATGTTTCTGCTCCATATGTGAGGACCGGCCTCAGTAATGTTTTGTATATAATAATTTTAGTTCTTCTTTGAATGTTTCTTGAGTGGAAATGCTTTTGGAGTCCATAGTATGCCCTATTTGTAAGATTTATTCGTCTTTTGATTTCTTCGCTTGTTTTATTGGTAGCAGTCAATAGCGACCCAAGGTATGTGAAGTTGTCAACACGTTCAAAGGTATGACTTCCAAAGACTGTTTCTCGTTCCTCATTTGCTATCGGATCCTTTGTAACCAACATGTACTTGGGTTTGTCTTCGTTGATGACTAGACCGACCTGTTTCGCCGCTGTTTCCAATTCTAGGAGATACTGCTCAACATCTCGCTTGCTACGCCCTATTATGTCAATGTCATCAGCATATGCTAAGACTTGTATCGATCTATTGTAAATAGTACCGCCGTCCCTAATTCGTGTATCTCGGACTGCCTTTTCCAAGGCAATATTAAATAGGAGGCAAGCCAGAGCATCTCCTTGTCTGAGTCCATCCTTTATCTCAAAGGATCTAGAACTCTCTCCCTGTATTCTAACAGTGGCTTCTAAGTTAGACATTGTCATTCTCGTTAGTCGGATAAGTTTCTCTGGTATACCAAACTCATGCATTGATTGGTATAGCACTGTTCTCTTGACACTGTCGTATGCTGCCTTGAAGTCGACGAATAGGTGATGGGTTTCAATATTGAATTCTAATGTTTTCTCGAGAATCTGTCTTATTGAATGAATCTGGTCAATTGTTGATTTTTCTGGAGTGAATCCAACTTGATATTTACCAACTATGCCCACTGTGTAAACTTGCAACCTTTCGTAGAGAATATTTGCTAGTATTTTGTAAGCAGTTGTTAACAGGGTTATACCTCTATAGTTGTCACACTGGAGCTGGTTACCTTTTTTATGTAACGGGCATATCACGCCTTGAGACCATTCACAAGGCATGGTTTCATTATGCCAAACAAGAAGTAAAAGCTTATGCAGTGTCTGTAGTAGGGCATCGCCACCATTCTTGTAGAGCTCACTGCAAATTTGATCAACTCCTGGTGATTTATTATTTTTAAGCTTTTTAATGGCTTGGGCAACGTTTTCGATGGTAGGTGGTCTTTCGTTTGGGTTGAAAGGATTCCAATCATTTCGATTTGCTAGGGTGTTATCTGCTTCTTCGATATGATGGCCATTAAATTTTGCATCGAAACATTCAACCCATCTGTTTAGGATTGAGGCCGTATCATTTAGGATGTTTCCTTCTACATCCTTACAGCTCCTTATTCTTGGCTTAAACTCTTTGCGCATTTTGTTTAGATGTCTGTAGAACTTTCGAGTTTCATTTTGATTTCTTAGAAATTCTGTGCTTTCCAATTGCTTTTGCTCAAATTGTCTTTTTTTTCTTCTATGTAATCGTTTTTCTTCTCTTCTTAGTGTCCGGTATTCTTCCTTTGCTCTTCTTGTGCATCCAGCTTGATTTGTCTTTAGGTATGCCCTGTTTTTGTTATCTGTTGCTTCTTGGCACTCCTTGTCAAACCATTCGTTTTCTTTAACTGGTTTGGTTTTCCCCAATATTTTTTGTTGCTTTCTCAGTTATTATGTTTTTACATTTTGTCCACAGTTCCTCTACGTTTTCCCCACCTCCAGGTTCTCCATTTCTTCGTCCATTTGTCTCCTATACTCTCTCGCAACGGTTTCAATGCGCAGATTATCAACATTAATTCTGTCTTGTTTCGTGTGTTTATCTTTCTTTAGGTTTGATATTCTTCCTCTGATTTTTGCCATTACAAGAAAGTGGTCACTGTCAATGTTTGGGCCTCGGTAGCTTCTGACGTCTATGAGATCGGAAGAGTGCCTTGCATCTATCAGGATGTGATCTATCTGGTTAATGGTTTCGTTATCAGGGGATTTCCATGTTCCTCTTATTATGTGCCGTACATTTTCTTCCCAGGCAACTGAAGGCATTCCCTAATTTAAAGCTTTCTTTCGCTATCTATCTTCATTCATTCGCTTCACATGTTCATACCACACTAGTTGTCTCGTTTCAATTCTATCTACACTGGAATATACAGTATTTGCCCTTCTTCTAATATCTTATTAGAAGGATTAGAGCATTTGCGTTTATTCCCTTTCTTGAATATTGAGCTGATGTATCCAATATTCCAATCATCATCACTATTTATATTATAAGATGTAAAAAAAAGAGAGGGGAAAAGATATGTCCCTGCCTAACACCCAAACTTGACTATTTTAACTACAATCGTACAAATGAATAAATTCGTTGTTAGTTATTTTTTTTTAAGATAATTAAGGTTAAGACATCCTGTTTGTTTCTACAAGAACCAAATTTTGCATCTATGAGAAAGATACTGAAAAATCCCTAGTACAATATTTATATTCACTTCATAAACTAACTATTCACTTCTGACATTTACGGCTCTAGACATCAAATCCTCTCTGAACCAATATCATTTAATTAATTTGATATACATTTCTTAATTTTGTGAATCTATTTAACATTCGTACGGTTTTAAAAATAGTTATGTACGGATTTATCTCTAAAATTTGTGAAAACATATAGAATGTTTAACATTAAGAAGAAAATAGTTACTTTAATGAATTATATAAACCAAAAACAAAACTTTAACCTTCAATATTCTCTTTCACCCATTCAACTACACAAATAATCAACAGTCAAGACAAAAATTACGACTTGTTAAAGTTTGACATTGAAGAAATGGAAACATTGATATAACTGGTACATTTAGTTCCTCTTATAGCTTCAGATCACAATTTCCAAGGCCAGTCTATGCATAAATACGACAACAAATCAATGACCACAAACATTCTACCCCACAATATTTTATTTTAATTTTCGAAGAGTGAGTAATAAGCTCTCATAAGATTGTATCGATTGGTTTCCAATGACACGTGAATGGTCTAAAATACTCAAGCAAACTACTGGTTAGGTTATGTTAGGTTAGGTTTAGTTAATAATGACATGTTGTAAAGCAAATTTGCGTTTTGCAATGTTTAGATGCTTTACGATTAAGTACAGTTTAAGTTTAGTTGAACCTATCGACAATTTTAGTTACTTCAGGTTACATTGCGTATAGCCAATATACTTTTTGAGATAAAGTATATATTTACTAGTCTCAATCTTAAGTTAGTGTTAAATATAGCGTAGTATGTCTAAAAGTTAAAATAAATTATGTTTAAATCACAATATATTCAATGAATGTGTCCCTCATATTTATGACCTCCACATATCAGACTGGCCCGTCGAAAAAAATAAAATAACTTACATATATTAAAGCTACTAATAAACTAATACGGATTCCATAGTGATTAAATCTCATTTTAAATTAACCGTCACTTCCTTGGTGGTAGGGGTGTCATTGGTGGTGTTTTGAGGGTTGCGCCTAGCCGATTTCGACCTAATTTGGCCGGCTAAAAGCGGATTGATAGCGTAGAGCCAGTCGTGTACTTCTTTCTCGTGCAAAGTTTGAAGTAGGTATCCCCTGTGCTTACTTACTACGCTAAAGGTGTTGGGTAGATGAACCGCGCTTAACTGATCTTCGGAATACTCTACTTGAGCTGTAGCTAAGTTGATCAAGGCCCTTTCGACTGGATCTTTTTCGTCTCTAAAGATGAATACATAGGGACGGCGCACAGACTAAAACATTAAAAAAGAACATGATTTTTTTTAATTGTAGACACTAAACAACAAAAAAATAATAACAGAAATTATTAAACACTTTTGATCTTCTCGTTTTCTGTTTGTTAAAGATATCTCTGCTATAATATTGTAATACTTCTAGGGTTATTCTGGTTCTTAATATAGCATAATCAAGATATATGTATACTGTAAGGAAATAGCCCATCTCCGATGCGAAGTGCGTGTCACAAATTCTTAGAAGGATAAATCTAGAATACTCAAGTGATGGCACTTTAATAGCATCCGTCTTCGGTGTACTTTCAAAGAGTAGAATAGAGGTGGACTATCCCAGAATATTCTAGTACATAATAACTTATAAGTAGCTAAGTTAGATGATAAGATATTTTCGGGCTGTAAAGTTATAAATATAGTACATTTTATGAGAAAAGGGCAGTACATATTTGATTTCACGCAAACAAATCCTATGTATCTCTTGATACGTATTTGCGACTAATAGGTTCTCGTCAGAAGAGCTATTCATAGGCTTCTCAACGTGAAAATCAATATTTTTCTGCCTTTTAAGAAGCAACAATAACATGGCTTCAATACGGACGCCGTAGCGACATCTAATTAAACAATCGTAAAATAGTTTCGAAACACAATTCAGATTTCTGCTTTATAATCTGAGCCTTCTAAGATTGCAAGGCAAAACAGACGTTGATAAAGATGTTAAAAGAGACATGGGGAATCTAAAATTTGCATTACCACTACATGTCCTTTTACAACTAAGCAGAAATCCTTAGCGAATAGTGTCTCACGTACTCTCGTACGGATATGCTCTGTGGGAGTACGAGAAACACAATTCGCTAAGGATTTCTGCTTAGTTGTAAAAGACATGTCGTGGAATGCAAATTTTAGATTCCCCATGTCTCTTTTAACATCTTTTATCAACGTCTGTTTGCCTTGCAATTCTTAGAAGGCTCAATTATAAAGCAGAAATCTGAATTGTGTTTCGAAACTATTTTACGATTGTTTAATTAGATGTCGCTACTGCGTCCGTATTGAAGCCATGTTATTGTTGCTTCTTAAAAGGCAGAAAATATTGATTTTTCACGTTGAGAAGCCCTATGAATAGCTCTTCTGACGAGACCTATTAGGTCGAAATACGTATCAAGAGATACATAGGATTTGTTTGCGTGAAATCAAATATTGCTGCCTTTTCTCATTTTATTCGGATATGCCTCTGTGGAGTACGAGAAACACAATTCGCTAAGGATTTCTGCTTAGTTGTAAAAGACATGTCGGTGGAATGCAAATTTTAGATTCCCCATGTCTCTTTAACATCTTTTATCAACGTCTGTTTTGCCTTGCAATTCTTAGAAGGCTCAGATTATAAAGCAGAAATCTGAATTGTGTTTCGAAACTATTTTACGATTGTTTAAATATATTATATAAATTAAGAATTCACTCGTTTTTATTTAAAAACGGTACAGTGGTGTTCGGTGTCAGATTTAAAAATAAATTCAGCAGTGATTGCTAAAAAAATACTTTAACTTTTGAAAAGTATTGTTCGTCGGGAACATCCGCGTAGTTCGGTAATGATTTTTGTACGAAAGAACATTTAAAAAAGTACGTGTGTGCCTGACCAAAGATGCTGCTAGTAGAACTTTCAGTAAAACAGTTGCGTGAGCAACTAGACGAACGCGATTAAGACTGCAGCGGGTCCAAGAAGATACTCCAAGAATGACTGAAGACTGTTCTCAACAAGAATGGAGACGACCCAGAGACTTTCCAGTTTCAATCAGCAGAAGAAGCAGTTTTAACGAAAATAATTGATGGAAAATTTGAAAATGTCTCGCAAATGATCGAGTTTAGAGTTAGATCGAATTAGAGTTCTAGAAAAAATGATGAAAGATTCGATGAAACGTCTCAAATTATTAAAGAAGTAGCAAGACAAAACGACGAGAAACTCGAAAATGTTTCTAGAAGATTCGACGAAGTATGTAGTCAGAACAATGAGAAATTAGAAGAAGTTTTTAGAAACATTCGATCAGATACAGAAAAATGTAAACAACGTAGAAGAGAAGATGAAACAATTAGAGACCACGTTAACTAAACAAAAGTGCTACCACCAGTTAATGCAGTAGTTTTAGATCCGGTAGTAAAAGAAGAATCACATAGAGACGAAACGATACATCATATGAGATTCAAATTGCCACCATTTGATGGAAAGTCTTCTTGGTCCATATACCTTAGACAATTTGAAGCTATTGCGACAGCCAATCATTGGACAGAACAAGAAAAGCTGTTCCTTGACTGCTGCTTTAGGAGGTGATGCTGCGGATATCCTAAGATCGATTCCTAAGGGTCAAGAAAAATGTTACTAGACCTTGTTCACTCGACTAGCCAAACGTTACGAGATGCCCATCTACAACAAGTCTACAAGGCGCAACTAAGAAGTAGAATTCAACGAGCAAGTGAAAATTAGCAAGAATTTGAAGCAGATGTTGCTCGTATAGCGCTGTTGGCTTATCCAGACGCACCAGACAACATATTGGAAGAAACTGCTGTAGATACCTAGATCAATGGGTTGAGACAGACAAGAAGTTTACGACTTGCAAGACCGACAGTTTTAGATGAAGCGCTCGCCATTGCCTTGGAGCACGAAATAGCTGGTCAAGTCTTGTCGAAACCAGAAAAAAAACTATTGCGTTACCAGGAGAGAATTTCTAGGCGTAGTGAAGGCTTGTGAGCATTTCCATAAATACTTGTATGGCAGAAAGTTTCTTCATTGCACGGATCACGCCGCTCTAAAATGGCTCCTACAATTCCGTAATCCAGCGGGCCAGATGGCAAGATGGTTAGAAAGATTACAAGAATATGATTACGAGATCGAACACAGAGCTGGAGAGTTCTGTAGATTCCGCCATCCTGGGCCTACATCTATAGTTGCTGATCGGGACGCTCATATCTAAGAGAGGAGTAGTGTAACGAAATAACCCATCTCCGATGCGAACTACGTGTCACAATTCTTAGAAGGATAAATCTAGAATATTCAAGTGTTGGCACTTCAATACCGCCCGTCTTCGATGTGCTTTCAAAGAGAAGAATAGAGGTGGACTATTCCAGAATATTCTAGTACAATAATATATACATCTTAGTTGTCTTGATTGACAACTAGTTAATATGGGACTCAAAATAACTTCTTTACATGCGATCGTTGCATGATTTCTTTATGTGTGTTTGATGTTTATTAGTTTCTTTTAGATTTATTATATTATTAAACTCTACAACAGGTTTTTATTAACTTTTATTTTAAGATCCACACGTGTTAATAATACCATGACATGACAATAATAATGATAATTTCTCACTTGCACCGTGCCACGCATCATCCAGCAAACTGATTGAGTCATTCCGATATTTCGAATACTATGTTTATCATTTTTTGTGAAAGTGTGGAGAATATATTATTTAGAGAAATTGTCCAAAACATCAGTAAAATTCTTCTTCGCGACCAGTGTCAGATTAACAGTATTCACTAATTTATACAACTTAATGTTCATGTAATGCTGTCTCTGAAGAGGCCAATTAATTTAAAATAAAGTTCATTTTATAAATTGGAGCCAGATGTCGTAAAGCTTAAGTTTTACCTCTCCGCTTTAAAATAATTAAAATCTTTCTGAATACTTACCACCCATCTCTTTCTCCAACCCTGCGTTTTATGTTCCAAAACGTTTAAATATCCTTTCCTAGCTATAACAGGAGAAATTCTTATTTCTTCCATATCTGGTACGTATAAAACTAATTCTGGATCTCTGGGACCAGGCGGTGAAACGGGCATAGGAGGGAATGGAGCACATTCTCCAGGTACCTAAAAACAAAATTAGTTATTAAATAAAGAACTGAACGTTTTTTGAAAAAAAAAAAACCAATGAAAATACTAACAAGATTAATAAAAGTATATGGCAAATATTATAGAGGGTGTCCCCGAAATAGTGAGTTTCTTAAAGGTATAGGTAGAAGTATAGCATTTAGACCAAAGAAGTGTTCATCATCAGTTGGCGCTACAGCCCTTCGTGAGCCTTGGCCTGCTTCAAAACATTCTTCCATCCTTCCCTATCGAGTGTCTGTCTTCTCCAGCCCCTCACTCCAATCTCCCTCAGATCTTCCTGTACATCGTCCAGATATCTGAGTTTAGGTCGCCCCCTTCTTCTTCTTCCGACCGGCCTGTTTAGCATAGTTATTTTAGTGGGATCACTCTCATCCATCCGCATAACGTGGCCCACCCACCTTAGGCGGTTTATTTTGATGGTCTTCACAATATCTGCATCACCAAAAAGTCTATAGAGTTCAAAGTTATATCGCCTTGTCCACAGACCCTGTTCGTTTACTCCGCCATATATGGTCCTCAATACTTTTCTTTCAAAGACTCGTAGTAACTCTTCATCTCGGGTCGTCATTGCCCATGTTTCCGATCCGTATGTGAGCACTGGGCGTATTATTGTTTTATAAAGTTTGCACTTTGTTGCTATTGACATACTTCTCGCTCTTAGTTGAGGGCCCAGGCCGAAATAACAGCGGTTAGCCACGCATATTCTTTTTTTATCTCGTTGGATGTGTTATTTTTGTAGTCTACCAGTGATCCTAAGTAGCAGAATTCTTCTACCATTTCTATCGTTTCGTGTTGCACCTCTAAGTTATTTTGTTGAATTCTTGATATGGCCGGCGTATATTTAGTTTTCTGGATGTTAATCAGAAGTCCGATATTTTCTGCGGCATTTTTGATACGTGTGAAAGCCTCCACTGCTTCATTTTGGGTTCTTCCAATTATGACGATATCATCAGCGTATGCTCATTATTTGTATACTATGGGTATATATCGTACCTTTTAAGTTTATTCCCGAATCTCTCATAACTTTTTCTAACGCTAGGTTGAACAGCGTGCACGATAGCGCATCTCTCCGGCGCAGTCCTCTGTTGGTTTTAAATGGTTTTGAAACATCCCCTTGTACGCGCACTTTACATTCGACTTTCATCATTGTCATTTTAATTAATTCTACCAAACCTTTTGGTATTCCTAATTCGATCATCGCCGAATATAATTGGGACCTGTCAATAGTATCGTACGCTGCCTTAAAGTCTACGAAGATGTAATGGCAGTCTATGTCGTACTCCGTCGTTTTTTCTAATATTTGTCTGATGGATGATATGTGATCAATGGTAGATTTGTTTTAAGAAGCCTCTTTGATGGGATCCTATTATATTGTCAGTATACCGTGCCAGTCGTTCGTTAAGTATCAGGGACACAATTTTGTATGCTGTCCAAAGAAGTGTTATAACATTTTTTTCTAAATTCAACTGTTTGACCAAAAAACAAAATACATTTTGGTATGTAAAAAGAAATTTGTCAACTATGTGCAGTACACTAACAGTGGCTAAAATGGTTGGAATGTCGAAAAACGTAGTTCATAGAACATTTAGGGAACAACTTCCACATCTCATACCACTATCAAAGAGTACAAGATTTACACCAAGGTGATATTCCTCGAAGATTAACATTTTGTAGGTGGTTTCAAAATAAACTCGCCAGAAAACCTGAATTTCAATCTAAAGTGTTATGTTCGGATGAAGCATATTTCACGAGAAATGGTGTGTATAATTTTCATAATTTGCCACATATGGAGTGACGAGAGCCCTTATTTAATACGTAGGACAAATTTTCAACGAAAATTTAGCATAAATTTATGGGCTAGAACAATCAACAATCGTTTGATAGGACCATATGAATTACCCAGAACACTAAATGGAGAGGCCTACTATAATTTCTTGCAAAATGTTTTGCCGGTACTTATTGAAGACAACCATTGCAAAACACGCCATGAAATGTGGTTTCCTTACGACGGAGATCTAGCACATTTTTATAAGAGCTGTTGATACCACTTATCCTCGTCGTTGGATTGGTAGGAATGGACCATGGACGTATAAACACAGATGGACTCATTTATTTACATAAAATTGTGAAGTCAAAATTATTTGAATAGGTCACATTCTCAGCACCTTCAACTGTTGTCACGTTTTGTTTTAAAATTTCTTATTCGCGAGTCGCTGAAAATATTACTCCGTATTTTATACTCTACAGGTGCTATCAAACCAAAATAATAATTTATTGGTTATATTAATATATTTAATTGTAATCAAAATATCAAGTGTGCACATAGTGTGCATTATCATTTAATAATAGCGTATAATAGATATCAATCAATTATTTTATATGTAGAAGCACTGAAAACTATTTATAAATGGCAACGGTTGTTTACATTTCTCTGTCTTATGGATCTACGTCAAACTTCAAATGCTGTTTCATGTTTGTTTACGTTTTACAGTAAATGAGGAAAAATTTATTTTTCGATATTTTGGCTGTATTTTGAGTGATATTTGTGAAAAGTGAAATAAAATAAACGAAATATTTATATCCCGATCTCTCATTTCATTTGTAAGTACATACATTTACATTATTTAAGATGAGGAAATAAGGCAAGCGTGTTTGTTTACATTTTAATAGGCGTACCATTGGGTTTATTCATGTTCATTAATGTATTGAATAAGATATGAGTTCATGAAATTAGTAGACATTTATAAATTGTAAGTAGACATCATCTGATTAAAAAAGATCTGTTTAGTACCTTTTTAATTTAATATTTCTCATGGATACAAATAAATTAGTGAAATGAATAAAACTCATTTATTTTTCTATGTAGGTTTTCAAATAATATTGACGATCGAACTATTTGGGTAGCAAATTAAGGAGAAAACAAAGGTTTTTTATTGTAGCATTATTTTGATACTAATAAAAAATTAACTTGAATTCAACTATATTTAATTGTATTAATTTTAAAGCAAATAAAATTGTATTGTAATTTTTCTATAAAGACGTGATTTGTTAATAGTTAAACTCTCGTTTTTTTTTAATTCTTTGAACGTGTTTTTATACATTATTACTACTTCCAATTTTTAAAATCTGAATAAAAACCCACGAGTAAAAATTCAAGCACGCTTATGCTCATTGCGGAAGCATCACATTCTATCGAAGCTTCAAAACATTGTGTGTTAAAGGTATCTTATTGCTGTGTCCATCTATGTTTATACGTCCATGGAATGGACCTATTCTGTAGCCACTACGAAGTTCCGAATGCAATGTATTTAATTTTTATTTTTGGGGACATCCGAAATCGTTAGTGTATGATAATCGAGATGAAATCGAAACAGAAACTGAATAATGGGAACAAATTTTTGATGCTGCAGAAACTGTAGCTGACATAATTTAGTTAACTAAGGCATTATAGATACATAGAGACAAGGTCAAGCAGATTTGAAAGTTGTCATTCTTCTAGTTTTGAGAATTTTGAAGTTTCAGTTAGTTCTTTGTCTTGGTTATCATGGTGATCAATGCTTTTTAGTTGTTATTGAATACACGGTAATTGTAATGTCTATAGTCTTATTAATAGAGTGGCATAGTGTGTTCAATATTGATCAGCGTAATGAGGGAAAATTTTAAATATCTGTTGAAACAAGACCTCCTACCAAAGAGGCTCGACACCAGGCGTAAAGCAAATTCAAAAATACCAAACATATGATGTAGAGTATATACAAAACATATTTCAAGTCGCTGTGTAGAAAGGTCTAAGAAGCAAAACGACTTCTTTATCTACAATTTGCAAGGGCTTCAAGGCTCCACAACGGGATTACGTTAATCTGGAATGTAACTCATCATGATGATCAACCTGTATGCGTCCTAGATGCGGTAACTAGATGCAAGTCTTGTGCGACTTGCATCTAGTTACCGTTAACACGCTCCAGGTCATCAGTCCATCTGTTTGGTGAGCATCCTCTGCTCAGTATGCTTCTTGTCTTGGTCTCCACTCGACAATACGTTTTGTCCATCGGTTGTCTGATCATCTAGCGACGTGTCCCGCCAAATTTTATTTTAGCGACGCGACTTTTTCGATGCAAGCTAATGTTACTAATTATTGAAAAAACAATCTTCCATAGATTTAAAAATATCGCAATAAAAACTTACCACAACCCTTTCTGGAGAGCATAGCTCGATAGAATTGTTTGACATGATACTAGATATCATGCTTGTGCTCATTTCAGTTACTTCTTCAGAAGGACTCGTCACGTCGTTGTCTTTAACGTTATTTGAATTATCTCTGTGCCTACCCTGGATAAGTTTAACGCATCTCAGAAGTAGTTCCCTTTCACGGTCAGAGTATTCCGTATTTGTATCATTGTTCGCTAAAACAAATAGAAAGATACATCAAAACGTTTGTTAAAAGATTTTAAGCATTTTTAACATTTCTACCTATTCCTACCTATAGCATTTATATTATTATTCTTAGCGACCATATTACACGCTTCTTTTTCATTCTTAGTGTATTCTAACCGGTACTTATTATAATTTAGTGTTCTATCCAATCCTAGACGTTCTCGTAAAAGCAAAGTATGCCTAACTCTCTCTACTTCCTCCAAACGTGTCAATTTTTCTAGTTCCCACTGATGATCAAATATTAAAGAATCTCCTCTTGGTCTCCAACCATGAAGGTTCTCTTCACCTCGTACATAGGTGGTGCTGGTATCCAGTACTCGTCGTTGACGTCTTTGTACGCCTAAAAGCATACAAAACTTTTAATATATGTCTGGAATTCTGATTTAATTTTATTATTTTATGTTATATGATGATTTATATACACTGTTGGAACTCGAACAAATGTAGATATATTTAGCATGAGATTAATAAATGTAAATGTTTTTGAGGTTATTTTAAAAACTATATTTCAATACACCAGTTAATAAAGAGTAAAAAGTCTGAGTTTTAGCGTTTTCGAGTAAAGTATTGGGAAGTGATTCGATAACCAATATTTACGAGTTTAAAAGGGTAACAACTCTATAATAACGTTCTGTGAAGATGTCACACATATTTTTTTTGTCATAAAATGATACTTATTTTAATTCCAAAGTGATATATTTTTTCAGTTTCAAACCGTAACATTTCTAAATTTTAGATTTCACAATTGGCAACATTGCTTAGACTTGGTTGACTTTTCGAGCTTGACATAGCCAATGACAGTTCCGTAGGTGGATTATGATTTCACTCCCCCGTCCCCCCCATATGGCCCCCCCCTCCCCGCTTCCGCCCCGCCTCCCAAAAAACCACAATATAAATTAAATTTTGGATTATGATTTACTCATTCGCAAATAGTTCTTCCAAAGTTTGCATAATTTTGAGTTTTTTTGAACATTTTGACATAAATGGATCAAAAACGTGATTTTTAACAAGATCTGAGTGTATTTTACAGTCAGCTTGCCAAAATGAAGGATTCTACAAGTTAAACAAGGTTACGAATGTAATTAATTTAGAGAATAGTTGTATTTCAAATGTTAATCTAATTTATAAAAGAAGTGAATGATCAAGGACAATATTAAAAGCTACTTAACTTATTTTAAACTTTAACTTTATTTTGTTAAATATATAGATTAAGTACAAAATGTTCAAGAATTCTGTATTATGTTATCTGTATCTGAATTTGTTTGATTAGAATATAAACGTAATTAAAAACAGTGTTGATTATTATTATATCAAAACACATCTCGTACTGCTAGTTAATATCCTTTATCCAATGTTAACAAATACCAAGAATCACTCCCAAAATGGTTGTAAGTCCAAAAACTAACGTAAACCGCAGAAAAAAAATAGTAAATCAAATTGTAGTAACACAAAATATTTCATAAATAATGTCAAAACTAAAAATATTATTTCATTTCGAACATTTTGCTTAGAGCAATACAGTGTTAACTCAAAATTTTTAAATAACTTCACTGTCAGTATTTTTATTTAACTAAGAGTACAAAGAAACTTCCTTTAATATTAATTAGAAACATATTATGCATTAATTTTTTTCCTAACTGCAATAGGAAATGATTAATGAGTTTTTCGTTGATTCTGAAAAATCATCTTTTTTGAGTTACGACACTATTGTATTATTAGTGCGATATAGTATTGAGTGGCCAACCGTGTATATAGATTTGTTAAAAATATGAGTAATAAAATAGCTATGTCTTAAAATACTACTACCTACAACTATCTCTAAGCATAACATTTCACAACGCTACTATTGGAAAAGCTAAAGGAGAGAGAGCCAGGCATAAAAGAGGGTTCATAAGACTTGGAAGAGAACAGCAGTCAGGCGAGGAACAGGATACTAAAGGGAATCTACCTGGACTACCTGCTTCGCTAGCGCGACGTAACAGCAGCTCGTAGACTCCGGATAATCGATTAGCTTCAGTATTTCGGTAACTGCCGGAGAATAGATGTTTTAAAGATCTAGGTCCGGTTCTAGCGTCTCGTCCGTAAATCACCATGCTTAGGTCTTTTGTTATAATAGCTGGACGCCCACAATTTTCTAACTGTAATCAAACAAATCTTCATTAAACAAGGCCAAATCGTTGTTTTAATACGAACTTTGCAATTTTGCATAGACAACAAAAGAAAAATATTTAATTTACTCGAAATATGAGAAATCAATGGTTTTAAAAATAAATTTAATTCTCAATGAACAAACATATATTGCAGCCTTATTAAGCCCATTGGGCTTTTTATTGAAAAGACAGCAATAAATATTTTGTTACAGGATATTACCAAGTGTTTGCAGACCTAGATAGCCAGTTAAAAATTTCTGTTTCTGAGGAAGATACTATACAGAGAAATATGTCACATTGATAATATTCTGTGTAAGTAAAAAAAGGTGTTGTATTTTTAGGTTATGTTTTATTATTAAATTTTCATTGTTGACGTTAAAAAATTTATTTAATGATAATAAATTAATTTACCTCTAAGTAAGCTGATATCGTCATAAATATTTGCTCTCCTTGCGAGGTTACTCTATTTAGTAATGGAGAATTGTGTAAGGAACTATCCCAAGCAGCTTCGAATCTAAACATTACTCTGTCGTCTCCAGGTATTTCTAGGTATTCACCAGGGAAAAGACCTAATGATAGCACCGAATTATCATTATCTTCATCTTCCTCCGATTCTGGTGTATTTCTAATTCTACCGACCACCAATTCTCGCACGTCTCGCCATTTGATCTCCGCCGCTGGATCGTGACACGATGGTTATTCTGATTCGGCGTTGAATTCCCTAAAAATAATATACATGTTAAACTAACAAAACTTCGAAAAATAATGTGGTTAAGATTGAGTTACAGTATCCTTATGCAACATTAATAGATTAGAATACGCATTTTGTAGTCTGTTTACCCAAAATTAATTATGAAATCGATTCATTGATTCGATTTCATAATGCTGCCCAACAAATTAAAGTACCATTTGAATGGAAAACCGCTCACAAAGTGTCCATCTTTAAAAGGGTATCGAATCAGATCCTAACTGCTACAGAGGATTAAGTGTCCTACCTACTTTCCGGAGATTGTTTGGAAAGATAATAAATGGAAAAATACAAGATAATGTAGGACATCTAATTAGCGAAGACCAAAGTAGATTTACGCCTGGTAGATCTTGCACTGATTTGTTTATACTTCAACAATTAATAGAAAAAAGAATAGCGGTAGTACCGAAGTATATCTAGCCTTCATCGACCTAGAAAAGGCGTATGGTACAGTTCCAAGACTTAAATTGTGGCAAGCTTTACAACAACTCGGCATTAGTCTATACCTTTTAGAAACAATCACAGAAGTATACAAGGATATCACTAATTACCTAAAAATCGAAAATATACCTTCAGAGCCACTAAAAGTAACTAAAGAAGTAAGACAAGGATGCAGTATGTCACTCTTACGGTTTAATTTATATATTGAGGCAGTCCCTCCAAAATTGGAAAAACCACTGCGAGGGAATGGGAATCCCCATGCTAATTGACTTACTGTTCTCCCTGAACTTTGCAGATGACCATGTCGTCCTAGCTCAAGATTCTTATGATCTAGAAATTTATGAATAAAGCGACTAGAATTTATGATAAAGAGAATATGTAAAATGGAGATTACAAGTCAGCACGAAGAAGAGCAAGAATATTTTACTTATATATTATCAGATGCAAGGTTTGAACTGTTGATAGACGAGAATGTGACCATCAAACAAGTCATCATCATCACACAGCAAAATTTGTCCACTGTCGAACATAGGCCTCCTCAAGATGTCTCCACTCTTCTCTGTCCTGTGCAGCTGCGATCCAGTTTGTCACTATTCTTTTAATGTCGTCCGTCCATCTGGTAGGTGGTCTTCCACGATTTCGCTTGTCTGCCCTTGGCCGCCATTCTAAAATCTTCTTTGTCCATCTGTTGTCTCTCTGTCTTGCGACGTGTCCTGACCATTTCCACTTCAACTTCGTAATCCGTTTTATGACGTCTTCCACTCCAGTTCTTCGCCGTATCTCATCATTTCGTATTCGGTCTCTCAAAGTTACGCCAAGCATAGATCTTTCCATTTTTCGTTGTGCTACTTGTAACTTTTTTATTGATGCTTTAGTCAATGTCAGTGTTTCAGCTCCATAAGTGAGCACCGGAAGTACGCACTGGTTAAATGCTTTTCTCTTTAGCTTTATTGGGATGTTTTCCTTAAACACGTCTTTTAGCTTGCCATAGGCTGCCCATCCTAAAGCTATTCTTCTAGATAATTCGCATGTTTGGTTGTCTCTACTTATTTGTATTTCGTGGCCCAGATATATGTATTTGTCAACCGTTTCAATATGCCAGTTTTCTAGTTTCAATGGTCCACTAGGTACTAAGTTGGTCATCATTTTAGTTTTCGCAAAGTTTATTTCCAGCCCTACTTTTTGGGAGACTCGTTGTAAATCTTGTAGCATTTCGTTGGCCTCCTTTAAGTCGTCGGTTATTAGAACTATGTCATCTGCAAATCGTAGGTGGTTCAGCCTTTCGCCATCGACACTCAAACCTCTGTTTTCCCATTCTAACATCTGGAATGCATGCTGCATTACGGCATTGAATAGTTTTGGTGACATGTTGTCTCCTTGTCTAACTCCCCTTTTTAGTTTTATTTTTTGAGTAGGGGTGTGGAGGTTTATTGCTGTTGTGGCATTTGCATATATATGTTGAATAATGCTGGTATATCGGTAGTCGATTCTACAATCTCTCAAAGCTCTTAAGATAGCTACCATCTCGATAGTGTCAAAGGCTTTTTTATAGTCAACAAATACTAGGACTAGTGGCCGGTTGTACTCTATAGTGTTTTTCAATTAGGGCCTTTAGACAAGTTAGATGGTCATTTGTACCATACCCAGGGCGGAAACCTGCCTGTTCTCTTGGTTGGCATGTTTCTCTAGTTTGTTCTCAATTCTGGCAGTGATAATTCGAGCAAATAATTTATACAGATGGCTTAGAAGACTGATTGGCCTATAGTTTTCGAGGTCTGTTTGATCTCCTTTCTTATGCATGAGGAGCGTTATAGAATTATTCTATCAGCTGGTATTGCTTGGTTTTCTAAGCATATATTGAAGAGCTGCTTGATTGTCCTGATGAGAGCAGAGCCTCCGATTTTTAGGCGGACAAAGTCCGCTATTTATCAAACAAGTGGAAAAAATTTAAATATTTAGTTGCACTCCATGATATAGAACGGCTTGGGAGAAACCGAAATAAACACCGAATTAATCAGGGACGTAAAATTGTAGGATATCTGAACTCCTTATGGTGGGATCGCAACATCTTCAAAAGGAACAAAAAAAAAATAGAGCAAAGCATGGTTGAATCAGTTCCTTGTTATGATTCTGAAGTATGGACAATTAATACAGACCTGAAGAGAAGATTGTTGGCAGTTAAAATGGATTAATTGAGAAGAAGTTGCTAGAACATCAAAGCGGGAAAGGAAGACCAACGAATCTATAAGAAATAACATGAATGCTACAGAAACGGTCATTGACAGAATAGAAAGAAGAGGCTTAAAATGATTTGGACACCTATTGAAAATACCTAACGAACGTTGGCTCCAAAAACTTCACAGATGGAAGCCCCCTAGAAGAAGAAAAAGAGGTATAACCTCGAAGCTCATGTAATGAAGAAATTAAAAGAGCGATGGATTCGAGAGGTTTAGAGGAGGAGCATGCCTTGCATCAGGAGAATTTGGCGAAGGAGAAACGGGAATAACGGCTATAGCCGTCCCAAATTTTATTGTATTTATTTCATAATTATATATATATATATATAAATATATATATATATAAATATATATATATATATAATTATGAAATAAATACAATAAATTTTGGAGACGGCTATAGCCGTATTCCCGTTCTCCTTCGCCAATTCTCCTTGATGCAAAGGAGAATTGGCGAAGGAAGAACGGGAATACGGCTATAGCCGTCTCCTAAATTTATTGTATTGTAATTTCATAATTATATATATATATTATATATATATATATATAATTATGAAATAAAATACAATAAATTTTTGGAGACGGCTATAGCCGTATTCCCGTTCTCCTTCGCCAATTCTCCTGATGCAAGGCATGCTCCTCCTCTAAACCTCTCGAATCCATCGCTCTTTTAATTTCTTCATTACATGAGCTTCGAGGTATATCCTCTTTTTCTTCTTCTAGGGGGCTTCCATCTGTGAAGTTTTTGGAGCCAACGTTTCGTTAGGTATTCTCAATAGGTGTCCAAATCATTTTAAACCTCTTCTTTCTATTCTGTCAATGACCGTTTCTGTAGCATTCATGTTATTTCTTATAGATTCGTTGGTCTTCCTTTCCAGCTTTGATGTTCTAGCACTTCTTCTCAAATAATCCATTTTAACTGCCAACAATCTTCTCTTTAGGTCTGTATTAATTGTCCATACTTCAGAATCATAACAAGGAACTGATTCAACCATGCTTTGATGTATTTTTTTTTTGTTCCTTTTGAAGATGTTGCGATCCCACCATAAGGAGTTCAGATATCCTACATTTTTACGTCCCTGATTAATATATATATATATATATATATATATAAATATATTATATATATATATATGTATATATATAATTATGAAATCGTTTGTCACAAAGGGATTTTACCAATTTAGTGTTTGTTTTGAGTTTTTTAGGAGGGTTAAGGTTTCAACAATATCATCGAGACTCTCACCAATAGGTTATAATACCTTCTAGAAATATATGGTGAATAAACAATGTTAAGTTTATTTACAACGTTCATTCACATAGTCACTCTTATTACTCACACGTTCACACGTTCGTTCCAAATATTCTAATGTCATCTATCCCTTATTAGCTAATACCCTAATTAAATATGTAGCCCCAAAAGATAGATATACTCCAAAAACATACCTGGTGCAATAAGAACAATCCTCTACATGGGAAGTCATCGCTATGTTCTACCACCACAGGAACGTATTCTCCACTCGGTGCCAACTCACAAATTTCAAACCAGACTAACACATCAGCCTTGGCATGAATGTGTGCGGTGCAAGGAGATGGCAAAGCACCGAATTTAGTTGATCTGACAGGTTGAGAGATGGGAATCGAAGGTGGCAGCATTCTTCTTGGCGGTTGGCGAACGCTACCTTCTAGTTTGGCATCTTTGTGCAATGGATGCTGTTGATAATGGCCGAAAACTTCAAAAACTATTGGTTGGCTTTTATGTAGTCGACAAACGATTTTGTAGCTGTGACAGTAATCTAAAATAAAAAATGAAGAATTTAAAATAAAAATTTACTACAAATCTTGTTTTGTTTTTTGCAAAATTAAATATAAATTGCTCACATTTTGAACGTGGTAAAAGCCAAGAGGTGTTCCTTTTCCGGTATTTTTGACGGGTTCTGTTGAAAAAGCCTCATCGTGGCGATGAAGAAAGCTGTAAAATGAGAATATTTGATGTTTTAATCAATTTATTATGCATCAGATACAAAATACTATGTAGCAAACTAGGGTAAAAATTAATCATACTGTATTTTTAATTAGGGATGCCAATCAAAGTATTTGTTCTACTCTGTGGACTTTTTATTATATTAGACGACTCATTTCTGTATATTTTATTTATTGCAAGATAAACTAATACTATGGTCTGTTTTTTAACCAGGAGGAGTAATTCAAATTTTCCGCGCCGTAATTCTGTTTGTAATTGGTCCAACCGCAGGCAAGTTTACTCCACTAAATTATGACATATTGACACTAATGACATTTGTGAAATTTTAAAATTCAAAATTTATATCGACGATTTTTTGTATTTTCTGCGTTATTCCTTACATCCATAGATTTTTCGTTTGCATTTATATAAAGAACAGTTCTTTTCAGAACTATTAGTGTTATTAAGATAACAATATGGATTCAATGCCAAGTACCTAGTGGTAATTATTCTTCTCCACCTTAAAACACGCCGAGTAGATTTGGGTCAAAGTAAAACAGGCAGCAGGTTAGTTTTGCAGAATAGTTATTATTAAATCAAAACTTACTAAAGTAATGTGCTAATTTTAGGTGTTGCGAATTCAACTATTAACCAAACAATTAAAGAATATAAGCAGACTGGTAATATGCGAATATTATTTAATGTGATATTTTTCTAGATGATATTTATATTAAATATTATTTAAAGTATTGTTAAGAAGCATTTTCATTTGTTTTCATCACAATAAAAGAACATTAGTAAAGTAATATTGTGTTTTAGTTTGATTGCATTGATGCAGTTGGTTTTGTTCTTCCTGGTTGTAGATAATCACAAGAAAACTGCCCAATTTATGCTTGAATGTATCATAATAGATTGAATTTGTTAATTTTAGTCAATTTTATTTATTGATAACAAATGTAACAAACTCAAGAATCCAGCATTAAAAAAATTGGAAGTACACACTTATTTATACAAAGTATCTTTTTGCATTATAGTGCTTCAAATAGAACCTAAAGATATTGATACAAAAGTTAAACAAATCTATCTAATGAGGTAACTGATTACCAAAATACCACACCTATATTTGAACCATAATTTATTCTGTGATGTGAATTTTAAAGCAGTGAACGGGAAGGAGTATGTAAAACAAATTGCCTGAAGCAATTCAGGAGATTGGATTATTAAGCTTAAAAATAATGATCAAAGTCAAAGTTAACTCTTCTGGTAAGAAAAAAAAAACCTATATTCAAGAATTTAATCACATCAGAATAAAAATATGGTCTACGCAGTTTAAAAGAACAGTATTTCAGAAATCTTTGAACTGTTTCTAACTTTTTGATACATGCATTTGCATAGCTTTGTTGCATACTTATTAGATCTATTTGCAAATTAAAAGACAAATTTATGTGAAAACCAAACTTAGATGAATGTGAAAAATGTGAAAAACGTCCTTTTTTTATTGTAATAATTGTAATATCTATTGGAAGTGAATTAAAAAAAATTATAATTCAAACATAAATTAACAAAGTTAGGTTAGAATTGGCGTGGAAGGTTGTCCGATATTGATTACTTGATTACCGCAAGGCGAGATAATCAACAAAAAAGAAGATGTATTTGGTGACTTTTCTAGTAACTTTCTTGGGTGTGAATCTGTCTTTTTGGTTTACTCCTCCTGGTTAAAAAACAGAGTATAATACATAATTATCTCTCAAGAGTTACAACCTGTCTACCTGTCTAGTATTATGTCTACCAATTGTACTGGTAGGCTTTAATAATAATAAGACATGCTTTGGGAAAAGGACCTATTTCTATCACAGTAGCTGGTAACCACGGATGATGGAAACTTTATATAAAATACATTTTCCCCAACAAACAGACTTGGTAGGTTTCTTGCTGACCTATCGTGATATTCTTTTACTTTCCTTTGTTTTCCTTAACAAATTTGTTATATTCATCCCTATCAATTGTTTTGGTATGAGTACATTTGCACTAAACAGGTAATTTTATTCTGAAATTATGTGACATTAATAATTGATTACTATTTAACTGGGAATAAGGCACAATTAAAGGTTAAAGTACGTTTATTGACGTTTCAATTTCCACTTGGAAAATCGTTCTAATGATTAGAAATTCAGATCAGATAGAAAATAGATCAGAGAACATCAGTTCATGCATATAAACTTGATGAACTTGATCATAAACTTGAAGTTTATGTTAGATCATATCAATTTTTGGTAGCCTATAAACCTTTCCATGCATATAAACTTGATGAAACATTGCATGGCAGCAGTAGTTTTGCAAAAGCTGCCTTAGTGAGCTGAAGCTTCGACTCTGATTGGAGTACGTGAGACCTATTTGGAACAGTTCGCCCCTTTGCTCTTTTCCTCTACATTTTTACTTGTGGATTCAGAAGAATCACTCATTCCACCACCATCTCTTTTTCTCTCGTTTATCTAGGTACGTCGATGTCACATCTTGTAATTAAGAAGCGCAGTAGTAGCAAGAAATATCTAAATCGCACTGCATAAGTCAGTTATCTGATATATCTGGTGATTTATCGATTGAGTATGGTGGAACAAGAAGACTAGATAAGCGTATACTTACTTAAATTGGCAGAAAACATCAGCATACTCCTGAGATATTCCAACAGCTTGTAGTACTGTGACCCTAAAAGTGAACTCCTTTCCAATTAAAAGATGCTCTGGAAGCTCTTCCTCTTTGATATCAGATGACACCGAACTATCACCTCGACCGGAGTCTGCATCACATTCTATCAATTCATCCAGTTTAATTGGGTCTATGTTGTTTTGGCCTTCAACGATTCTTTCTTCCATGTTTCTTATATTACGGTCCATAATATCTACAAAAATGATAGGGAATTACATAATCTATCTATATAAAAGGCTATGATGACAAATGACACCGTTTGTCCAGTAAACTAACGACGCCATCTAGGAAAAAGATCTGAACTACCATCAATTGTCATTTCAATCATATTTTGTTTTTGAAAGGTTACGTTTGCGATTGGGTGACTTTCTAAGATTAATTCTTAGTATCAAACAGGTAAAGAAACGCTATTGATGATGATTAGTCGAATAAATAATAACTTACTTTTTGGCGTAGTTTCGAATGCTATTCTGGCACTCTGTCTGACGCCAACTTGATCAGAATTATCTTCATCCATCACCGCTTGAACTGCTACCTTCAAATAACCTCTTACATCACCCTTCTCGCTGACAATTGCAACTTTATGGATGAGTGTAATGGGATACAGTAGATTACTCAGGTAAACAAAACCTCTGCCTACCATTCTAAACCAAGGAAATCTGTCATAAAACGGATCTCCGCCAGTTAGAGATTCAACGTTGTAGTCTGGCGATGTGGGAGACATTTCGGCTTCGTTATGATACATTTCGCGCATTAACTCAAGACGTTGCCTGAAAAATAGGATTACGGATTAAATTGTTCTAAATATTTTTATTTTTGGAGTATGGGGTGAAAAGGTTGGTGCCACCATGATAAAAATAAGCTGTAAAATAACTTGGTGAAATTAAAATACATAGCAATACATTAAGAAGCATATTACGTGATAAAATGGCAGGCGAAAATTCAAGATGAACGTAATACTTAAAATATGATCAAAATAAAATAAGTAGTGTTATTTTAGCACATGATACGGACTGTAATTTTATAATCTTACACAAATATCCTCTATGAAAGGATATTTAAGAAGACAACACGCAAAATCGTGTGTGTAAATTTTAATATAAGTATAATAATTGTGGTGTTTACATAATAAAATGTTTTACAAACAGGTTAACAACAAAAAAGAAAGTTTTTCAAGCCACAAGCGAACCAAGTCAAGGCCCTTAACGGAATTCTTTTAAACGAGAGAGTGCAAGTACTAGAAAGATGACAGGAACATTTTAGTACGCTACTTAATGGAGAAAGTAGAGCTGAAGATAGATATGATATAGAAATAGAACATGAGGATACTGAACTACCAACTTTGGAAGAAATAAACAAAGCAATTCAGTCTCTAGCCAGAAAAAGTCACCCAGAGCAGACAACCTACCCGCAGAAAATAATTTAAATGTGGCGTCAATACATTTGTAACCCTCCTTCACAAACTACTAATACAGGTATGGCAGAACGCACGTTACCAGAAGATTGGAAATACTGGAATTATATGCCCCAAACACAAAAAAGGAAACGTTCTGAATGTTCCACTTTAGAGGGATTTCCCTTCTTAATTACAGCATACAAAATTGTGTCCCTGATACTTAACGAAACGACTGGCACGGTATACTGACAATATGATAGGATCCTATACAAAGAGGCTTCTTGAAAAACAAATCTACCATTGATCACATATCATCCATCAGACAAATATTAGAAAAAAACGACGGAGTACGACATAGACATGCCATTACATCTTCGTAGACATTTAAGGTAGCGTACGATACTAATTGACAGGTCCCAATTATATTTGGCGATGATCGAATTAGGAATACCAAAAGGTTTGCGTAGAATTAATTAAAATGACAATGATGAAAGAATCGAATGTTAAAGTGCGCGTACAAGGGGATGTTTCAAAACCATTTAAAACCAACAGAGGACTGCGCCAGGGAGATGCGCTATCGTTGCACGCTGTTCAACCTAGCGTTAGAAAAAGTTATGAGAGATTCGGGAATAAACTTAAAAGGTACGATATATACCCGTAGTATACAAATAATGGCATACGCTGATGATATCGTCATAATTGGAAGAAGCCAAAATGAAGCAGTGGAGGCTTTCACACGTATCAAAAATGCCGCAGAAAACATCGGACTTCTGATTAACTTCCAGAAAAACTAAATATATGCCGGCCATATCAAGAATTCAACAAAATAACTTAGATATGCAACACGAAACGATAGAAAAGGGTAGAAGAATTCTGCTACTTAGGATCACTGGTAGACTACATCCAAAGAGATAAAAAAAATAATATGTGTGGCTAACCGCTGTTATTTTGGCCTGGGCCAAAATGTATGATGATAATAATTGTGGTAGCGAAAAGGTACTCTGTGGTTGCAATGGGGGCAGACATATTTCATGAACTAACGCTCCTGACTAAGCGAGTTCCTTAATTGCCTGCATTCCCTACACGTAGAAACCAGGTATAAATCAATAATATCATCTTTTCCAACTCACATAGGGGTGGTAGGTAGAGATGGGAAAATCTTTCATCTCTGGCAGTTTGAAAATTTGCTGTTATTTTGTTAGCAACTGGATGAGGCGAAGAACTAAGGGTACTCTGACGACTATTGCATATATTAAAATATCATAGCGTTACTGGGGATTAAACGTTGGTATGGGTATCGAAGGGACTATTCTTTTGCTGCTAAGAGCAAACTATTAAAATGTCCGGTAAATGCCTAACTGATAGTGATGAATGGTCACAGCTGGTCTAAAAAATCAGCCAGGTCTGCCACCGAATCCTACCTCCTACGGACACGAAGACATAAGTCGCGTAATCCTATAATATATGGCGTATTATGCGACTACGTTATATACCAGAGGTAAGGGGGTTTCAGCGCCTAATTGGAACATACCAGCGAACCCTTACAAACCGGCACTGGAGGTAAGGTACGCCTCATAAGCACTAACATGAAAGGCACATTCAAATCATGGCCCTCATTCTTCGTAGGTCCAAATGGCCCTGAACTGGGTAGTTAGAGGGATCAAGCTAGGAATGCAGAGCGCGTTAAGAATCCGCGGAGTCTAAACCGCTACTCAAATAAAACAAATCAATCCAGACTTGTAGAACTGGAAAAAGAAACTGACAATATAAAATGACGCCATAGGAATCAGCGAAGTAAGACGGAAAAATGAAGAGCTATTGAAATTAGCGTCATTCTACTACAGAGGAACATCAACAGGTAGAACAGGCGGGATTGGATACCTAATTAACAAACAATGGAAACGAAGAGTAGTAGAAATAAATATATCTAGGATAGAGTAGCTAGCTTAACGCTTACGCTAGATTAAATATACGCCTCAACGATTAATTGGCAGAACAAAGGCCTATTCATTGATGGAGAATACCTCATCTAAGATTTGCAGATAACATCGTTCTACAGAACAATGCAGAACTACAAGAACTTATAAGCGACATAAATGCAGCGGGCAACGAAGTTATCTTAAAAATGAATTTGAGAAAAAAACAACCATATACAACGAGCTAGAAGGATAATAATGGCAAACAGATGCTATTTTGGACTGAGTAGACATATGAGAAGTAGAAACTTAAGCCAAAAAAACAAAAATAACCATATACAAAACCCTTATACAGCCAGTGTTTGACATATGGATCGGAACATGGACCATCTCCAAGGCAGACGAATCTTCTGCTTATATTTGAACGAAGGATCCTGAGAAGAATATTTGGTGGCATCTGTGAAAATGGTGTTTGGAGGAGGAGATATAACTACGAGGTATACCACAGATATAAACAAATATTTGGTGGTAAAGATGTAGTATCTCTTATAAGAATAGGAAGACTAAGATGGGCAGGACATCTAGCAAGATCACAGCAGAACAACCCTCCTAGAAGAATCCTTATGTCACAACCCGTGGAAAGTAGAAAAAGGGGTAGGCCAAAACTCAGACGGAAGGATGGTGTAGATGAGGATGATAGAAAGATAGGCGCAGCAAACTGGCAACAGTTGGTAATGGATAGGACTGCCTGGCGTAATAGACTTGGGAAGGTCGAGGCTCTTTCATAGGGCTGTAGCACCATTGATGATGATGATACAACGAGCTAATGGATATCTAAGATGTAATAATAAACAACACTGCAGTTGAGACAGTAGACGAGTATGTATACCTGGGAGAATTAATACATAAATCTGTCACTTTGGCTTGGGCATCTTTTGTTAAAAATGCAGTTATATTCAAATCGAATATCCTACACCACCTAAAGAAAAAAGCATTCGATCAATTTATCTGAATCTTCAAGTCAGTTGAAATCTTTGGTTTTACCCGAATAACTTTTCGGCTAAATACTTGAATATCTTGAATTTACTGACATAATAGCAATTTAACTGAACAGAAACAGAATAAGGTAAAAACGTATCGTAATTTTGTAACACATTTTGTACCTAAATTATTACTTTTATCACTTCTGTTATTTATGAATAATGGATATGTTGTACTCAATATCCGAATTTGGTCATTGACCGAAATTTATACCTACAACGGGTTGTGAATTTCGTTTATTTCTCACATCGCGTTTCGGGTATTTTTGACGTGCACAGAACGCGTTGTGAATAAATTACAATGACCCACAATTACCTTTAACCGGTAACACGAGTTTTATTCAGTGGAGTTTCTGATAATTTCTAATATAACGGTTGAATTAATCGAAAACCTTAAAAAGGAATTCGAGGATGGTTTGAATAAACTACAAAATGAAGAAGACTTGGTAGAATTAGATAGATAGAAGAAAGCAACAGTGTAGAAACCCTGCCAAGAGAATTTAAGGAATCAAGATAAATATATGAATGGACAATAATAACCTGATTAAAAATAATGAAGATGCACCCAATATACAAGAAGGCAAAGTTGATGGCAATTTCAGTGATCAGTTAACCCAAAGAAGTAAGAGAATATTGAATGAGGGAGAAGAATCACATAAAATGATGAGAGTTCAGGCACCAAAGATGATATGTGAGTCAAATAAAATATTTGCTCCTTAAAAAAAGGGATTAAATGTTTTGATTCGAGTGCCGGATAGGGATAGAGGTCGAATAACTCCAAATATGTATTAGTAGTTGTTTCTGAAATTAATAATGAGGTTTGTACAAACTGAGTACTGAGAATGGACCACTGGATAGATTATTTCAAGAAATGAACTTCTTCAAACCGAATCGCAATTCATGTTTGAATCAAATGATATTAGTAGTAAGAAAATACCCTTGAGAACTGCAGCAAATATGGTCAAGATTTTCTCAGATGCAATTGTAAAATGTTTTATGGCGACAATAAATGTTCCTGTAAACAAAGAAACAAACAATGCAATTCAAAGTGTCATAGACCGCTGACACGCAAAAATAAATGAAAAAATTTGTTTCTAAAAATTTTTGTGTAAACCAATTTTTATCTACATTTTTTAAATAAAATTAAAGTTTCGTTATGTGGGTATTTGTATTTTTAATTAAATTCATTTAGCATCAGGACTGAAATCTAGACGACGACATCGGCACGAAAAAGGACAATGATTTAGGATTATTCTCGTGGAATGTAAGATCTCTATACAGGCCAGGAGCCTTAGAGTCTCTCATTAACAATGTAGAAGTATATAAGAGCAATATAATTGCTCTTATATACCCATGTACCTTAATGTCCATGCACCAACTGAGGAGACATTGTCCTAGAAATGACATAAAGGTCTTAATAGGAGATTTTAATGCAAAGATGGGTAAGGAGAGGGAAATACATGTCAACCATTGGAATTCACAGTTTACATGAAGAGTCAAACAACAACGGAACTCGACTAATATACTTAGCCTCCTCAATGAACATGGTGGTTGCCCAGCACATGCTTCAGACACAAAGATATACATAAAGGAACATGGAGAAGTCCAGATGGGAATACAGTAAACCAAATCGACCACGTTGTGGTTGACGCAAGAACACTTCAGCGACGTGATAGACGTACGTGCAAGACGCGGGGCGAACAAAGACTCGGCCATTACCTACTACAAGCTAAACTAAGAGCTAGAATCTCCAATGCAAAGAAAGAAAAAGGAGTTCAAGAGGAAAGGTTTAAAGCAGAAATCCTCGTGTGTGCCCGACGGTCTTCGTAGTTTCGCATTGTGGGTCTTCGCATTATATCCACAACGCGTTCTATCAAAAATACCCGAAACGCGATGTGAGAGAAATCAACGAAATTCACGAGTTGTAGGTATAAATTTCGATCAAAGGCCGAATTCGATTATTGAGTACTATAGATACATTCTCGAAGGTTACAAAAGTTAGTAGGCATTGCTACAAAGATTATCTAAATTGAATGAGACGTTTTTAAATATTTTAAACATTTAATAGTTTTCAGGCTATCAAAATCTTTTCCAGTAGTGTTTTTACATGTTTACAATTTATATTAATCTAAAGCTACGTTACTATGTTACCTTATTAGCAAAATAAATAAATGAGTATGCTTGAATGTATCAGAAGAAAGCGTAAAATATAAAAGCAAGTTATTTACATGAAACGAACCAATGAGGTGGTATAGAGTGGCACCAACCTCGAAGGTACTAAACGGTTTAGTGAGAAGCGTGACAGTGACGGTGACGGTGGGCATTGTACGATACACCGCAGCAGCGTCGACACAGGCGGCATTGTGTCATCAGGGCTGTCTAATGTCGAGACTTCTTCGTTATACACAAGACGCATTAATTCCAATCTTTGACTTCGTGATGAAAAATTTGAAATAAATAAAAGTCGAACAAAACATTTTCGGGTGTAGTTTTTGTGTGCGTGTTGATGAGGAAAATTAATGTTTGAATAGAAGCAATGTCTTGTGCATGAGGATTATTAATTAATTTTATAGTTAAGAGAATTCTTATACAGGGTTTTTCAAAAAAAAGGTAACCCCGTCTCTAGGGTAGGTAAAAAACTGAAAAATAATTGGGGTGTGCTTAGTAAAAATTTTTAGTAACGCCATCCGTTTTCAAGATACAGGCGTTGAAGAAAAAAAATTTTACGCATTTTTTACGATTTTGCCGAAACTACTGGCAACATTGTAATGAAATTTTATACGAATATGTTTTGGAAGCTGATACATCCCATGAATTTGTTTTATATCTAATTCTCATAGAGGGCGCTAGTTACACGGATGGTACTAAGTATTAGTCAATATAACTTTTTTAAGAGTATAATTATTAATCAAAATTTCAAGTAAACTTAAACATCATTCAATTTTACAACGAAAAAGGTACTCTTGTAAAACTCGATACTGTGTACCGTTTTCGGAATATTTTGATTTGAAAATTATGAAGTAATAATTGATGCTGGTATAAAATAGTAATTAAACAAAAGAAAATTAAATTAATGACTAAGATCATAAAATAAAATTCAATTACAGTAAGTGATCAAAATGCCCTCCGTTTTCGCGAATACACAAATCTATTCTTTTTTCTAAAGATTCCATTAACCTTCTAAACGGTAGGGGATCAACTAGGATGTCATTAAATTGACGTTGAATTCTTTCTTCCCAATTCTTGGCGTGAATTTACCTCTGTAGCATAGACTTTTTCCTTAATATACGACCAAACTGCGTAGTCCAAAGGTTAAAATCGCATGACCGAGGAGGCCAATGAATCGGAGCTTCTGCACCTCTACTAATCCATCGATTGGAGAAATGATTACTCAACCAATTACGACACCTTCTATCAAAGTGTGGTGGAGCTCCATCGTGCATAAAAAATAAAGATCTTCACTCGTTTAGCGTTAAATCTTCTAATATCTCGAATAAGGAATTGTTTAAAAATCAAGATACATATCACCATTTAAATTTTCAGGTAGAATATGATAACCTATTAAATTTGTTACCTAAAGTTGCTGCCCAAACATTAACTTTAAATGAGTGTTGGTAATGTGATACCCTTTTGACTCGTGGATTCTCATCACACCAGTAGTGTGGCATTAAGGGAGTTAAACATACCTTGTCGCGTAAAGGTGGCCTCGTCCGTAAAAAGAATGCATTTTATAAAAAATTGGATTGTGGGCTGTCCTTTGTTGTAATGTTGTCTGGCAAGAGCTCTTGGACTTGTCTGTAATGATAAGGATGTAATTGTTCTTCTTTCAGTATCCGCCAAGTACTTGAAAAAGAAGAATTTGTTTGTCTTCCTATATTCCTCACGCTAACTGTTGGATCTTGATCAAGTAAATTTAAAATATTATTTTCCTCATTAATTGTTCTTGTTGTTCTTAGTTTACCAGAATTTATTTTATTTGGTGTCACATTCCCAGTTTCTCGACAACGTCGTTCAACAGCTCTAAATGTTTTTTTACTTGGTAAGTTTCTTCTAGGAAACTTTTCTGCATAACGTGTCATTGTCATAGCTGCACTAGAACATCCTAAACATTCGCCTAAGGTTAATAACATGTCCAGTGTATTCAACATTTGAGTACATTTTGATTTGATTTTACAAATAACAAGGTTTCAAAAGTCTAATTATTGTTGATTTATCGTCATAACAATCAATAAATGTCAGATTTCCATGGCACACTTGGAGAAAATAGAGGTATACCTATTAGAACTTTATCATTACTACCAGCATCAATTATTACTTCAGAATTTTCAAATCAAAATATTCGAAAACGGTACACAGTATCGAGTTTTTACCAAGAGTACCTTTTTCGTGTAAAATTAAATGATGTTTAAGTTTACTTGAAATTTTGATTAATAAGTATACTCTTAAAAAATTTATATTGACTAATATTTAGTACGATCCGTGTAACTAGCGCCCTCTATGAGAATCAGATATAAAAACCAATTTATGGGATGTATCAGCTTCCAAAACCTATTCGTATAAAATTTCATTACAATGTTGCCAGTAGTTTCGGTAAAATCGTAAAAAATGCGTAATTTTTTTTTTCTTCAACGCCCTGTATCTTGAAAACGGATGGCGTTACTAAAATTTTTTACTAAGCAAACCCCAATTATTTTTCAGTTTTTTACCTACCCTAGAGATGGGGTTTCTTTTTTTTGAAACACCCTGTATATATATGTAAATAAAGGTGTGCTAATACAAAATACATTAACTTTATAACGCATATACAGGGTGTTCCATTTAAAAGAATGAAAACAAATTCTATTTGAAAATAGTGATCACACTGTATATTGTATGGTTGAGTTTTAAAAATATTAAATTATTTAAAAATTACATTATCCTAGAAAATTTTTGACACATCATTTACATTTTTATTACCTTGGGAACCGTATCCACAGCCCTTTAAATATTACCGTTTTTCTCAAGAAAAGTGTAAATATTTAAAAAATTAATAACTTCAGGCCCATAAACCTTATATATAAACAATTCATATTACAAAAAAAAACCTTCAAAATAGCTTTGATATACAGGGTGTTCCATTTACAAAAAACTTTGGTTCATTCCGGTGTTCTGACTGACCCTGTATAATCGAAAATAATTTTAAATCGTAGACTTCTTTGATATACATTAGTTTTGTTGTCATACATTATTTTAACTTGTTTGTTTTTATCTTGGTTTTACGTACCAGTATCTTGTTCTGTAGAAATACAAGAACCGTTAAACGGCACTGAGGTCTAAATCAATACAATTGCGAGCATGAAATGCTTTCAATTATATGGTCGTTATAGTGACATAACATGCCTATAAGCGTAGATTTGCAGTTCACCTAATGCGCTATAGAAAAGAAGTCTTTTTTCTCTTCTTTATATGAAACAACAAAAGAAGACTTCTCGTTGCTTCATATAGAGGTCGCTACTAGCGTACTCGGGTATGTTACATTAATATAAAGAGTCACTGGCAATTATAAATATTAATTTTTGAATTTAATAAATGAAAAATTTAGCATGTTAGCTCTTTTATGCTCTGCATCGAGTGTATCATTATTAAAGAATAATAACTTTTAGCAGACATATAGATACCAAATCTTTCTTGTTGTGAAAATTGTTTAGTGTAACTTGTTTAGCGAAAGAGACATGTAGAAAACTTACCGTAATTTATCTAAAGACCAATAATGAGTAGCGCCATTTTTGATATCTTGTACTTCGACGGCAACTATTGTTCTCGGTATACTAATATCTTCATCTTGGTCGTAATCTATCATAGGTCGTAAATCAGCAGGAAGTGGAGAATATAAGGTGTCCGTAAGTAAGGTAAACTGAAATTGGACCTGGGGAAGAAAATTCTTTATAAAATTTGTGCATTACAATTATTAAAATAAATTACAACAAAATTAATAACAATAAAAATAATTGACATTTGTTCTTTCAAGAGTATATAATTTTTGCGACAATATTAGTATAAACGGAATAACAATAATATTATAGTATTCGATATATGCAGCTGCACAGGTATCGCCCTCTATAGGTTATTATATCGTAACCATAAGGTTTACACCATTGGAAACATTTATAAATATATCATAAGGTAACAAATTCAAGTAATTAATCATAAATATTGTCTGTATATTAATTATTTATATATCGTTTTTTGTAGTCGTATTTATGTATTACAAATAGATTTGTTAACAGTTCAAAATTTGGATATTTTTACAAAATCATAAGTTGAATTTATATAATATAAACATTTTACTAGCTTCTTATGTATATATTTTTTAATAATAATGTAATACCAAAGTAAAGGGGCTATAATAGCACGGGACCACAATAATACTTTTCCCCCAGATCTTCTGAAAAAACGGGGAATTTTGCAACAATTGGCAACAGCGCTTTTTATAAGAGCCAATGTGTTAGAGTGTGGTAGAAATTAAATTTTTACCTAAATCTGGGGAAATTTGAAAAAACATATAGGTTTATTCTGGTCAGTTTTTTGGGCGTTTTGTGGTGGGGGTAGAATAGTTCGTCGGATAGAAACGAATGATACATCATTGGAAAGGAGAGGGGATGGGGAATGTGTCGCCATGCAAAAAACATGCATGGCGGCATTATCAAAAGGACATTACATCATTTCTCCGTGTTAAATGAAATGGAGGGGATATCGATTATATTAAGATAGAAAAAACCAACAAAGGGACTATCAAAAGGGCACTAGACTGCATCTTCGTTATGTAGTTAAGTAATGAAGTAGAAGGAGAAAATATTGATTTGGAATGCGAGCCAGAATCAGACAGGTGTGAAAAAAAATGACTACAATACAGACACAGAAAAAGAGTGGGAGGAAGAGTTGGAAACATAATTGGAAGAAGGATTGCGTGGGAGCATGTTAAACCGATTTGCGAAGACTGCAATGAAAATTGAAATTAGGATTAGAATGTTGTTTATGAAATGAAAGGGTAAGTATATTTTTGTTAACTTTTTTTTCATTTTCTTAAATATGTTGTTTATTTTATTATTCTATTTAAAATGGTTAAGATGTATTAAAAATGAAATAAAAAAGATTGTACATATATCAAATAAACTTTGAGGGTATACAAGGCAACTATCGAACACGGTGATTAATTTAATCTTGCCCAAGTACTTTCGATCAATAGATCATCTTCAGGGCATTTCGTCAGTTGTGGCCTATCCGACATAGTAGAATGTCATAAATGTAAAATTTCGACATAACAATACAAAATACAATACACTAAGACAAACAAACACTTTAAAATTTAAGGAGAAGCTACATGTTGTATAGAAGCCGGAGACAGAACAGAAAGTACTTGGTCAAGATTAAATTAATCACCGTGTTCGATAGTTGCCTTGTATACCCTCAAAGTTTAATTATTCGAACATTCAACCTTATATTGATATATCAAATAGTTTTATTTTAATCTTTTCTAATGTATTGTGTAAAATATAAACTGGGGCTACCAGACCCCACCCGACTGTTTATTTAATTTGCATGTACCCGAATACTCAAGGGTTAATTGTAAGAAATCTCCAAAACTGTTACGTAATAGAATATTTTGTAACATTGTAACAATTTTGTAATTTTTACACAAAAGTGTAAATAAGAACTTATTTCAAATTCATTTATGGACTAATATATAATATAACGAGTAGCAAAATTATTTATTTACATACCTTTTTCTTTAATTCCACGGATATGGCGTTGGCTTCTTTTAAGAATATAGCATTACCCCAGAGGTCATCCCTCAAAGAAGTAAACTGGTGATGTTTCCATTTCCTCCAAGCCAAAGCAGCGAGTTCGAACTCCTTTTCGGTCCAGTTGCACTCTGCGTCAAATAGAGGGTTCACTGCAAAAGCGCTCGTATATATTTTAAAAGCATTTTGTCCACTCACACAAAACTAAACGAGCACAAGCAGGAATTTGACAAACTAGAACGTTTCTTGGAAAACAAGGTTATTTATCTAGTAATTAAGTCATGCAATATTTCAATATACATACTACAGCTCTTCCAATCTAACTCTGTCGGTCGGATGCACAGAACGACAAAGTGGCGATCATTACTTGAGAGCTTTATAAAACAAACCAGCGGAAGCATAAACCTTGTGACCAGAATGAAGCATACTTTATCAATACCGTTCTTAACTTCTGTGTATATTCTTGATACAAATTACAAAATTTAGATTAATTAAAAAAACCAGATTAATTCTACCATAATATGGGAAAAAAATTATGTGATCCAGGATTTTCCATAAAAGCTGCTTTTTGACATTTTATTATCACCCAGCCCTTTGCATCCACTGCTGGACATAGGCCTCACTCATTTTTGTCCATTGAGCTCTATTTTGAGCACTTTTCATCCAATTTCTTGACATTCTCTTGAGATCGTCAGTCCAACGAGTAGGGGGTCTTCCTCTACTGCTTTTGTCTAGATATAAGCTATATACTCAGCATTCATCTTTCCATTTTCCTTTGAGCTATTTGCAGCGTTTTAGACGTTGTAGCTGTTCATGTCAAAGTTTCAACACCATACGTCATCACAGGCAACACACATTGGCCAAATGTTTTACGTTTCAAAGAAATTGGTATATCGCTTTTAAAGATGTCTTTCGAGTTTTCCCTAGGCTGCCGATGGTAGGTTTATTCTTCTTCGTAGTTTGCATGTTTGGTTGTCTTTTGTGATATTTATTTCATGTCCAAGGTATATGTATTTTTCCACCAGTTCTACTTCGTTGTCGCCAATATTGATATTCCGCTAGGTACTAGGTTTGTCATGCATTTTGTTTTGGAGATGTTAATTTTAAGACCCACACTAACTGAAGTTCATGTAGCATTGTACATATCTCCTTGAGGTTGTCAGAGAACAAAACTATGTCGTCCTGCGAATTTCAAATTTGTAAATCTTCTACCGTCAATGTTCAGGCTTTTCTAGTTAAGTTAAGTTTTGACTTTGCCATGTCCATTTTCTCTGTATATGTCTTTAAAAAAAACTGTTCATTTGGAATAGTTCATTTGCCATTCAAGCCAAAGTTTTCCAGTGGTGTTTCTGTAGAGATGGATTTCATTCCTGTTTTGGCGTTAAAATCACCACATATAAAAGTAAAATGTCCTTGATGGTATTTAAAAGAGCAGCTTCGATATCATCATAGAATAGGTCCACTTCTTTTTCATCATGGTCTGTTGTTGGTGCTTTTTTACACAGTGGTCACTAAATATTAAACTAAGTGATATACGAGCTTTCAACTAAGGTATTACTTGCAATACGATTTCACTCAAAATCATTTTACAAAATGTCACCCATCCACCGTTTTGAATAATTTCATTTGAATACATAGGTAGAAATGGTATACACCAGAAAATTTAAACCTACTAATTTTACGGCTAACTTACTAATTTTAAAAGAAGCATTTTCCATAAATAACCCATTGCTTTCATAGAAACGTTCTAGTTTCACATAACTATTTTCGTAAATACATTCGGACGACACATTTAACATTTTTAAATTAAGTATACTTACCAAATATATCATCTTCATTATTAAAATCTTCCGGGGTGTAGGAACTGTACATAGACATTGTCATACTTTGTTCTTCGACTTGTTTCTGTAGGGCATCTATTCTAGCTTCGTAATTCTAAAACAAATTTCATCTATTAGTTACCTATGAAGATACAAAAGACCAATAGATTGGAAATAAAATTTAATTAATTTATTTTTTCGGGATTTTCTGATTGTGATCATGCGTTGTAATGATATCGTTACTGTCTATGACCAGGATGTTCTAGAACGTCCTAGATCATCCTGTAAAGGATGAGCTTGTTCGTATGATATTTATGGGTTAAATGTCTGAGGACTGGACTATATAGTGAATATAATTACATTTGATCCTCGAACCTCGACCTAAAACCAACCTATTGAATAACACAATTCTTCTTCTTCATGTACCATGTTCTTTCAAAACGTTGGTTACCATCATAGCTATCTTAATTTTATTCACTGCTACCCTAAATAGCATGCTTGTATCAACACCATAACCAATCCCGCAAGTTCTTCAACCATGAGGTTCTTCTTCGTCCTGGACTGCGTGTGTCTGCTATTTTTCCTTGCATGATATTTTGTAGCAACCTATATTTGGGACCTCTCATTACATGTCCGAAATATTTCAGCTTTCTCTGCTTGATACTTTTTATGATCTCAGTAGTCTTGCTGAGACGTTCTAGTATTGTGGAATATAAAATAACACAATATCCTCCTGAGACCTGACCTGATCTTTTTTGTTTTTTTTTTGATGAAATATTAGAATTTTGTTTGATGTTTAGTATAAAAACACATGTAAATTTTTCTGAATTTTTATTTTTTTGCTGAATGTGAAAAAAAAAACATGTCCATTTAAAAGGACATCAGGATCGCATCAATACAAACTTATTGTAAATGAAATTGTTTAAAGCAATTATTATTTCCCGTTAAACATAAAAATATGTCACATGATTCACAATAAACTTTTGTTTTACCCTTACAACCTGGAAGCTTACATCTAACAGAATTTTTTAACTCGGATGCCATTGCAGGAATGTGTTGTATCTTTCTCTTAGTAGGCGTTTGAAGTGATGTTCTAGGTTTGTAACTGTTTCTAGTTACCAGTGTTGAAATGTTCTCAAAATCAGAATTTTCAGAAATGTTATCTTTAAGGAGCAACTCAGAAACAGCTATTTTAAACTCCAGGAACTGCATAACGGTTTTATTAGCATCACCCAGTTGCTTATGGTCATCTCTGTACAGAATCCAAGAATTGGCAATCGCAAGATCAAATAAGTGAAAAATGGTTTTTACTGTCCATTTCTTACTTCTAGCTCCCATTCGATAATAACTGATCATCCTGTCAATTAAATCTATTCCCCCCATGGATTCGTTGTACTTTTTAACAATGTTTGGTCTAGGTACCTCAACATATCGGGAGTCCTTTTTTGACCATCGCTTACATTCATCTGAAGGTTCTATTTGCAACGCAGTTGACGCTAGCATAACTGATTTCATGTCATACCATTGGACTATGTTAATTTTTCCATCAGATCTTACATCTTGCTCAGAAGAACCACGACCTAATCGACTCATCACCTTATCTGATGTTACATGAACTGCTTTGGGTATTCTGGATCTCATTATTGTACCAGTTAAAAAAATATTTTTGTTTAACATGTACTCAAGTAAAGGTAAGGTGGTGAAATATCTATCAATGAAAACATGTGTTCCTTCTGATAATGTTGTAGATAACTTAATTACTGCAGATGGACCAACACCTAACTTCTTAACATCATCATCATTCTGCAGAAATGTATTTTTCCCTTGATAAATATCGAAGTCTAATATTAATCCTTTGGGAGTGGCGCAGACAAAATTTTTTAATCCTTCTGGATTAGGTTTACCTCGAACAAATTGTTTCATGTTACACACTCCGTAAAAGGTATCATTTGTTCGTCCACAGCAACCTCACTGTATCTTGGAAGTGTTAAGCAACCTCTTCGTATTCTTTCAATCAAAGGCCGGATCTTAAATAATTTGTCAGCATTTCTTTGATCTTGAGGCACATCAGCGTCAATAACTACTTTTAAATTGCTTCTGATTTGAAAATATCTATCACGTGTCATGGCTTGTGCAATACTGTTGACTCTTGTTGTCTTGGCCCAAAACATTCTAATTTGTGGATTACTTTAGACAGGACATTAGGATAGATATTCCAAAAAATTTTTTCACCTCAGTTAGAGTAACGTTCAAAGCTTTTCCTTTTTCTTGCAAAAATTTAATATTCGTACAATTACAAATATTCTCAAAATCTGAATCATCAAAATACATACCGACGTAGTTTTCAACTTTCCAATTTTGCCTCTCGTGGACTGTATCGACAATTCCAATAAAATCTACATGCTGAGGGACAAAAACACCCATTTTATTCCATGTATTTCGGTTCTCAAGCTTTTTCTTTCGTTCGTTGAGTGGCACGTTATCTAATTCATCTTCGGATGGTATTTCTGTGTCTTGTTCATCATCTGAGCCAAATTGAGCCAAATCTGATTGCTGAGACAATTCTTCATTTGGATCAAGGCCGTCATCATAGTTTTCAGAATCTGAAACGTCTATATCCGAACTTTCCAGACATTCAAGAAGTCTTTCATGGTCTACTTCGGGTCTTAAAAATTTTTTGTTACCAAAGACAGCTGAAACAAAAAAGTCTAATATAATATTTTATATAATTTACTATTTTATTTGGGAATTAAAGCTACAATTGTAGTTTTAAATTAATTTATTGACGTTTCATGCACAATAATACATAATATTTTATGTATGTCTAAAGACCTGACGTCCATAGAAATGGACGTCCCTATTTTAGATAAAAACAAACTCAAAATGGTTTGCTAAGACAATTAAATCACATTAATATATTTATAATATCGTATGTTATTAGACTAAGCAACATTTAGGTTAATAATCTAATAAAATTAGCTACTTACCATCAATTGTTTTTCTAGAACTGCTCGCCATGTTTATCACTTGCGATTAAGAGGTTAACTAAATTAAAATGTGGTCTCATCAATACAGCGCGCTGTTGTCAGGTTCACTAATATGTACACTACGATGGACTGTGGGACTAGGCGGTGTAAATTTAGTTCTTGCGAAAAAAATATATAATACGTAAATGTCCATTTAATTGGACATCAGGTCTCAGGAGGATATGGAATAAAAAGTTTGTATGCACGGATATTAAAGACTTAATGATAAGGGTGCGGTTTATGACAAGTTTTTTCAATAGTTGAAATATTGATCTGACATTTTCTATTATCGCTCGTATTTTAACTGTAAGACCAAGGTCAATTATGACCAGACATATAAAGACAATAAAAATTGACTATTTTCTGTAAAATTTAAAGCAACTAAATACATACCTTTCGCTGTTCTTCAAAGAGTTGATCCGCCGTTTCTTTTTCTTTGCGATATTGCTCTTCTAGTGTAACTAACTTTTTCTCCATTTCTGCCTTGAGATCCACACCTTGTTTTTCCAAAAGTTCAATTTGTGCGAAGTTCCAGTCTACATGTTCTGAAGTAATCATATTTTTCTCCCTGAGTTCTCTTACTTCTTCAGGATGTGTGAATCTAAACACGTGATTTTTGCCCAATATTACTCTTGATGCTGTTTTCAGTTGAACAGGGTCAGAAACCTACAATTCAAGATAAATATTTCAGAAAAAAAAAACAATAAAAAAAAACAGTACGAAATTTAATAAAAAATCAATAAAGATTATCTATTCAGCATACTGTTTGGAATAATAAAGGACCCTACTCTCTGTCCCTATTAAAATCGGGTTGTTATCTAACTGTCCGCGTCCGATCGTCTATATGTGCGAATCTTTCCACTACTCATTTGAAAATATTTCAAGAAATTTATCGCACAAACGATCCATAGAACTAAACGTTAAAGTCTACGTTTTTCTCACCCACCTATTTCTTAAAAGAAGCCAACACTAAATCTATAGGATTGAGATCTGGATGATAAGGAGGCAGCTTTAACACCCAAAGACTAGTATTTTGCCAATTTCATACACCTTAAGGCTGGGTTTATGGCTTTGTACAATAATTCATTTCCCTAGAAATTGGGTAGTTAAACCTACACTTGTTGCTGTTGAAACACGTTTCTTTACTTGTTTTAAGACTACAACAGGTACGTTGTACCTTGCTACTTGTTGCATAAAAAACATTCGCTATAATTTCTCAGCGTTGCCTGGACAAAACTTTTTGATTCAATTTTGATTTCAATTCCATTTCAGGTCACTGTCGCTGTCTTTCAAGGAACTGAGGAAACTCTGTCGTAGACTATACCGACCCAAGTTATAAGTCGTAAACAGTTGTTTACTTCTACTAATATATTTCCGGTAATTTTACTGAGAATCAAGTGGGCGCTGCGATTGTACGATTTCGGAATTCGTTCCTAGATTTGGCGAATAATATCTTGTAAAATAGATATGTATATATTAAATACAAGATGTTCCAAATGGAGCATTATAAGATGTTCCAGATTACGTTGAGAAGGTAAACATAGTTACGGAGAATACTTATTAAAAACATAAGACAAAAAAGTATTTTATAATTAAATGTAAATATTTACCTCTCTTCCATTAACATAAATGAGTGCTCCATTGAGAGGAACCAATGTTACTCGATTGTCCTTGTTTTCAAAAACGCAGTGTTCTGGTTTAATATGTGATCCACATAGTTGAATGTCCTGTGGAATATTAGCCTGATCTGAACCGATTCTCGTTAAACCTTCCTGCAAAAAATAAATACCTAGATATAGAAAGAGTAATAATTACTAAACCAATTTATACTTGAAGGTGGTATTGCAAAATCAAAAATTTATCGGTGCATACTGAGATAATTAATATCTATTCCAATAATACATTTAGATAAAAAATTATTTATTTATTACAGTGTCTTAAAAATATTATTAATTTTTATGATAAGGCAATATATATGTTTGTAACTAAACTGTTTTGAATCAGGATTTTATTTTTAATGACTAATTACCTTCACATATTTAAAAGACCATGCAAATAAAAAGTACTAAATAATAAATTACTGAGCAAGAAATTTAAAATGAAAATGTACAAAACAAGACGACTAACGTTAATGTAGGTAACTAAAGAAACAATTATCTTATTTCTCCTTTTTTTTAAGACCCTTTGATGCTCTTTTAATATCCGTTTTTAAAATTAAAATCGATTGCCAATTGATGAAGTTATTCAAATTGTTTATAAGCCTAGAATTAAAACTTTTTAAGTTTCTCTAAGCTTTTCTAGTCGACGAATTGTAATTTTTCAAAATGGGTTTGAAATCTTGAATGCTCTTCTATATGTAAAAAAAATAATGGATCTAGAAGTTTTAGTTTTTGACCTGCATCTATATGGAAAATCTTTAAAAAATAAAGCAAAACTTACCTTAATGTAGTAAATCAGACATTCCGACATAAATGGATCTTCATTTAAATTAACTAAATGCGGTGTACACTTAGGAGAGAATACACCCACTGTATTTCCATCCTCTTTTACGGCTACACCCATTTCAGCAAAGACAGCTTCGCGCTGTATTCTTATTGCCTCTGTCTTCTTTAATTTTTCTTCCCATGTTTCATTTAATTCTAAAATAAATAGTGTATTACTTTATGAGGCGGAGAAGCATGACTTTTCTTGACGCTCCGATATTACGCACCGAACGAAGTGAGGCGCGTAATAGAGGGCAAGTCAAGAAAAGTCGCTTCTTTGCCGAATAAAGTATACTATTTTTTCTTCAAACGTAGCAATTTTCAACTATAAATAGTACAATTCATACGCTATTTTTACTCGAAATTAACTGTGACAACTATCAAAGTCGTCTAGATGTTAGAAATTAAAATAATTAAGTTGTCGGTGGGATTTGCGTCTCCCTGGTTACAGTTGTTTTGACAGTTGTTGGCAATTATTAAAGACAGCCTATTGTTGTTGCAACCGCAAGCGCAAATTTAGTGCGAAAATGGAAAACCTAAACGAAATTGAGTCCGCGGCTAATGATGCAGTAGCACGGAATAAGTATCGGTTAGCGTACAAGCACTTCCAAGATGGTGCGAAACAGAGGATAACGGCAAGTTACCGAAGACGTTTTACTGGCATATTTTAATATAATGGAAAATGAAAATAAATGAAAATCTTCTACAATGTGGTCACGATATGATAAAATCCGAGTTAGTTATTAGAAAAAAATGTGGATATAAGCAAATTTTTAAAGTTACGTGCCTTTCTGAAAAAAACCAAGCGAAGGATATACTGCAAAGAAGTCTAAAGGCGCCCACTCACCAAGAAGGAAGACTGCAAAGAAGTCTAAAGTTTTCACTAAAGACGAGTTTGATAAATTTTTGTTTGAAGCGCCAGATAAGTTGTATTTAGGATTAAAGGTAAAAAAAAATATATTGCAAAGCATGGTAGTATACTCTACTAAATTTACTCTACGGGTCACATCTTACGACGAACTTCAGCAACACTTTTAATTGGTGGAGAATAATTTTATTCCCAAATAAATGGTGGAATTGAGGTGAATGGAAACGTATTGAGGTTGAATTGTCAAACTTGACGCTTATAAATATATTGCTGGTGTTCTCGAAAGTAAAATGATAAGTGATGATAAATTTTCCATTCCTGGACTCCTCCAGAGCTGGTTGAGGCAGTGAATACTGCTTCATTAGAATTATTGCCAAAGAAATCAAAAGAAAAGTACGAAAATGCATACAGACGTTTTATGGATTATCGCATGAGTAAAAATACGAGTTCTTTCTCAGAAAATGTTTGTAATGGCATACTTCCTAGACCTTTGTTTAAAGATGAAATCTTTAACATTATGGGCCAATTATTCAATGCTGAAGTCAACCCTTGCAATAAGTTATTTATTCCTTATAAGCAATGTATTTTCTATAATTTATGTTAGAACACTAACAACTGTACGGAAATATCATTTCCTTACAGTAAGGAAATGACATTTCCTTACAGTAAGGAAGTCCTGACTTTTTCTTCAAGAAATTTTGACAGGAATGTCAAAATTTCTGGCGATTTGCGGAAAATAATATGTTGATCATCAGCTCTTAATTATTGTTTTTTTTTATTATTTTGTCATCTTTTAAAGCGATCAGTCGTGAAATTTGCAGCTTATTAACATGGAAGCGAAAGAAATAACTTATGAACCATGTAGAAAATAATACAATATTACAAAACGTTCAATTTTTAGTAAGAAAAAATAGAACTAAGTCAATTTTGTAAAAATATATAAAATGTGACAAGAACAGTGCTAAAACAAATTAGAAAGTGTAATGCAACAGAAAAACTTTCCAAATTGGAGGACAAACAGAATTCCAAAATAGCACTGATATTATTTAATAATAGACAATACTAAGATTTATATTTAAATTTAGGTAGCATTCTTTAATAAACTTATTGCAAAGAAGTATCTAAACGACAAAGTAATATTACTGACGAGACACCAAAGCGAGCACTGCTAAGGCTAAATAAAACATCTGTTTTGTTAGTAGGGAGACACAATCCTTTCATTACGAGGTAATGGGTGCGGGAAAACCAGCACAGAAGTGTTATTTACCGAACTCAACGTCCTCAAAAGTTAACGTCTGGACTAGCATTTTAGGAGACTACATAATAGGTTTATTTTTCATTGAGGGCAACTTGAATAGTAGAGTATACCTCGATTTGTTACAGAATCATGTTCTTCCCGCTATTCTCAATCCTCGTGGTGTAAATCTGGAGAATGTTTGGTTTCATCAAGACGGCTGTTCAGTTCACAACACTCGAATAATTAGGAAGTACTTAAACAATACTTGCCCGAATCGAGTTATCAGTAAAACAGGTAATATTAAATGGCCTGCGCGGTCTCCAGATCTTACACCCATGGACTTCTTTTTTGGGGACATTTTAAAAGCATCATCTACGATCATACTATGGTTAGAGCCCAGAATTTGGAATGTTTTTATGGCAGATTGGGATACTGTTCAGTCGTAGAAGGTCAAATATTTGAATCATTTCTCTAGGGCATACAGAATTATTTCTTATTTTATTAGGAATTATTTTGTTATTTTCAATAAGAACATATTTTTTGTTTTATCTTTTAACGCACTGCCTTATAATGGTCAGTGTATTTTTATCGAGTTTATGTGATAAGAAATGAACCGGGTATACGTAAGCCAAACAAAAATCGACGGAGGGAGATGAATATCCCTGGCGTTGTTGTATTAGTAAATGGTTTTCGTTTTCTCGTTTTGTGTCTAAGGCTAAGGAGTCGGAGGGGATCGGAAAGTTACAATTACCTTGTACGAGACAATGTTGCCCATTTTAGCGCTTTATGTAGTTTGCAATATCTAATCCAAAACTCAACGTACTGTATCAAAATAAAACATGGTTTACAACTTACCTGCTATGAGTTTTTCGCTAGCTTGCAATTGGTCTACGGCTTCTTCAGCTAAAGAAGTGGATTGTGAACGACTTCGCTCTATTTCTTTGTTGTTTTTGGTGAGAATGCTGTCACCTGCTCCTACAACAGATTCAATTCGGAATATATTTTAAACCCTAAATCATTTATACTTAAAGCTGTATATACACATTGAAATCATTCCGGCGCATTCAACAACTCCCTAATATATGTATAAAGATTGTCTGATATCATTATGATGGTTAGGGAGTTTGTCCATGGAAACATGGCGTTAGGTGAATTAAAGCAAAAGCGGTCATTCTTCCTGATATCTTCGTGGAAATATCCAGATACTGTAGAAATATTACGGCTACAATAGGCTGATTTTTTTTAAGTGGGCGTCTACTGGAGCTCTTAACAATATACTAAAAAGTAATTAATTACATATATCGGCTTATATAACGGAACGGAGCTACATTCGCACTTTTTTTGTAATATAAATGTTAATTAGTTCTATAATTTAACTGTCCTAAAGTAGTTTATAGAAGGCCTAATAGAATTTTCCCCAGGAGCACAATGTTATAGCCGCAAATACATTCTTTAAATTACCTAAGCGACGCCTTTATACATGGAAATCGCCAGCTGACAAAGACAACAAAATCGTCAGAAATCAAATTGATTACTTCCTAATAAAACACAGATATCGAAACTCAATTCAGGCAGTAAAGGCATATCCAGGAGCGGACGTATCTTCTGATCATAGTCTTCTTATTGCTAGATTTCAACTTCAACTAAAAAAAGACACAAAAAAGCCGCAATAACAATAAACTTAACATAGAGAAACTTGAAGTCAGAAGAAACAAAAAAGAAAATCTGAAACACGAAATCAACACAAATCTAGACAGAAACCCAGGAAATAACTGCAACGTAGAGCAGCAGTGGCAATTCTTCAAAACCTCTATATTGGAGCCAAGTAAGAAACTACTTACAACAACTAAATATAAGAAAGAAGAATGGATGACAGAGGAAATTCTAGAGTTGATGAATGGAAAGGAGAAAAAACAAAACCATCAATAAGACGCGCTATAAACAGCTTCAAAACCAAATAAGAAGAGAAATTAGGGAGGCTAAAGAGACCTACTTCTCTGAAAAATGTAAAGAAATAGAACTTCAAAACAGATATGACAACTTCAACCTACATAAAAAAGTCAAAGAACTAGCCGGAGTAGGAAATAGAAGAACCTCAAATATATTGCTCGACAAAAATGGAAATATTATATTGGAAACAGAACAAAAACTACGACGATGGAAAGAGTACATCGAAGAATTATTTCATGACCAGAGAGAAGCTAGTACATCTGTAGATAGCCAAACGGGAGATGTAGGTCCAGAGATAACCAAATCAGAGGTTAGTCAGGCATTAAACTCAATGAAAACCAATAAATCTGCTGGTCCAGATGAATTACCAAGCGAGCTACTAAAGTTGGTTAACGAGAAAAACCTGGACATAATAGTAGAACTGTTCAACGCTATCTATACTACGGGAATCATTCCTAGAGAAATGTTGACATCAGCATTTGTATGTTTGCCAAAGAAAGTGAATGCCAAAGAGTGTAGTGACTATCGAACCATAAGCTTAATGTCACATACCTTGAAAATTCTCTTGAAAATTATCCACGCCAGAATACACTCTAAACTGGAGCTGGATATTAGTGACACTCAATATGGGTTCCGCAATGGTATGGGTACCAGAGAGGCATTATTCTCCTTCAATGTGCTGACACAGAGATGTTTGGATGTTAACCGCCCTCTTTACGTCTGTTTTATAGACTACAATAAAGCGTTTGATAAAGTAAAAACATGATCGACTTCTGGAAATTCTAAAAAATAAAAACCTAGATGAAAGAGATTTAAGGCTAATAACACACCTCTATTACAATCAGCGAGCAATAGTAGCTCAAATAGTCTGAAGAAATGGAAATAAAGAGAGGAGTCAGGCAAGGCTGCATTCTATCACCTCTATTATTTAACGCCTATTCTGAAGAGGTAATTCGAGAAACTCTGGAAGATGAAACAGTCGGCATAAGAGTAAATGGAGTCTTAATTAACAACATCAGATATGCAGATGATACAGTAATAATAGCCGATAGTTTACAAGACCTGGAAAGACTCATGAACAAAATAGTCATGTGTAGTAGGGAGTACGGACTCTCTCTTAATGTCAAAAAGACGAAGTTTATGAAAATTTGTAAAAACAACTATAATACTAACGAAATCTTGATAGTAGAGGGCCAGCAGATCGAAAGAGTAAAAAAGTACACTTACCTAGGAACACTTATAACAGAAAATAATGACTACACGGCAGAAATCAAAGTCAGAATCGAAAAAGCACGTTCTAATTTTATAAAAATGAAAAAGGTCCTATGTGGCAAAGATCTAACATTAGCTCTTAAAGTACGCCTAACAAAATGTTACGTATACAGTGTACTATATTATGGAGTGGAATCATGGACGTTAATCTAGATACCATGAGACGACTTAACGCCTTTGAAATGTGGACCTATAGAAGAATTATGAGGGTTTCCTGGGTAGATAGAGTTACAAACAATGAAATACTGAGAAGAATAGGCAAAGAGAAGGAAATTGAACTTACAATTAAAGAAAGAAAGCTACAGTATCTCGGACATGTGATGCGGGGCGATAAGTATGGCATCCTGCGACTCATAATGCAAGGAAAAATAGATGGCAGAAGAAGCATCGGAAGAAGACGAATTTCATGGCTGAAGAACCTGAGAGAATGGTTTGGATGCAGCTCAAAACAACTATTTAGAGCTACTGCCTCAAAAATTAAGATAGCTATGATGATTGCCAACCTCCGTAGCGGAGATGGCACCTGAAGAAGAAGAAGAAGAAAGTAGTTTATATTTAAAATGCAACAGTAATACTTCTTTATACAATATACCCTTGATACACTGAGGTTTTGTGATCCGACACACTCGGTAGTCCCACACACCTCCCGTCAAGGTCCCCGTCGTGTCTGCTGGTACTGAAACCTGTCGCGACATGAATCTCATTCTTACCGGATGCTTCATTTCGAGTGTTTTCCGTGACCAGTTCGGTTTGATACAGTTTTTAGATGCCAAACTTTTACTTAATTCGTTTAGAAAGTTCAGCTTAATGGCGAGCACAAGTTCAAAATGAAAGCACAAAACGCTGACTCTAAAAGATAAATGGGACATTTTCCAGAGATGCGAGTGTGGTGAAACCCCGACTGCGATATATAAATTGTATGATATTAGACGAGCTACAGTGTACGACATTATGAAAAACAAAGACAAAATCGAAAAATTTATGAAATCTGTGAAGAATGATTCTAAGGACAAAAAAATCCTTAAAATGTGTGAATGTACTGATGTTGAGGAAGCTCTGCACATCTGATTTAAGCAACAACTAGACAAGCTCCTATTTCAGGTGACGTTTTAAAAAATAAAGCTCAGTTTTTTTATCGGGAATTAACAAAGAAAACTGATTTTCAAGTTAGTCAAGGTTGATTCGAAAACTTCAAAAAACGATACGGAATACGATTTTTGCAGATGAGTGGAGAGAAGTTGAGTGCAGATATGATGAGATATCTGAATTTATTTAGAATTTGACAAAAAAGTTCACCAAATTAGGCCTAATTCCTGAACAACTTTATAACGCTGATAAAACCGGTCTAAACTAGCGGCAACTTCCAGTAAAGCTCACATTTCACATTCACTTCAGACGAAAAAAGTTTTTGGTAGAAGACTTAAGAGCGAACGTCTCACTCTCATGGTATGCGCGAATGCATCATCATCAGTGGCATTACAGCTCGTTATGAGCCAAAGCCTTCTTCAGAACAATCTTCAATTCGCCCCTGTCTCTGGCTATTCTTCTCCAAGCCTTAACTTCGATGGATTTTAGATCATCATCGATGTTATCTTGATACCTAAGTTTTGGTTTTCCTTTGGCTCGTCTTCCCACTGGTCCTTTTCGGTCGAAAATTTTTCTGATCGGTGCATCTTCATCTCGCCTAAATACATGTCCTATCCATCAGGTTCCCCAAAACTTCTGCCTGGGTTACAAAAGAAGTTTTTCTGTATTGGTAACAACAACAGCTTTTTCCCACAAGTTAAATATGAGCTAAGAAAAAAGAAACTACCCGTGAAAACACTCCTCTTGTAGACCATGCTCCGGACATCAGATAAGCGATTAAAATCGAACTGCGATGCATATATCGAGGCAATGTCCTTAACAAAAATACAACTACATTGATTCAGCCCATGGATCAAACCGTTATTAAAACTCTCAAGGCACACTACAAGAAACAACTCCTTGTGGATATTGTAAGTCAACCTAATGCTGACATCACTCAAATTTAAAAAACTTTCAACATAAAAGATGCGATTATCAATGGCTGCGTTTGCCTAGCAACAAGTCAAGCCTACCTACTACACTAATTAAATCAAGGAAGAATCCAATGACCAACATGTGCAAGTTGTACTAGAGCTGCCCTTCAAATTTACAACGATATGGCTAATTCATCAGAATGAAGAGAAGCTTTACAAGAGTGGATTTTAGATGACAATCTCAATGCTGACTTAACAGATGAAGCAATAATTAAAGAAATGACACAATCTGATGAACACGTGACCCAGGAAGCACAGGATGAAAAATCTTTCACCGTCAACTGTGATGATGCTATATTGGTAATCTCTGTGCTTGCCTTCATAAATGTGATACTTTAAACCTAAATGGTAGTAATCAATTAATAACTGTATATTATTGTCTGGCTGATTTTCCTAAAATTAATTCGATTTTATAAATTTTGGCTCCGTTCCTTTAAATTTTCCGATTTGTCACGTATTTATATATCACCAGACGCCCACGATAAGCTACAGAAGCTACTTTAAACATATATCAATGAATTTTTATTTTTAAATGTAACAGATTTGTTAGTAACAACGATAGTTTTAACATAACAAATGTTTTATTTTAGATATATTATCTAAAGTTGTAAATTAAAATAGTAATAGGTTGAGCTGGTCCAACAGTTTGTTCTAGTGGTTATTTTGTTTAACCTAATAATATTTATATACCTG